CGACAGGTAGCAGCTAGGTGGGGGGGGATGCTGCCTGCGCGCCCCTGTCCCACTCGCAGGCGTCGTGCCTAAAAGTCCAGCAGCTCTAATTACTGACCACGAATTAGCTAAGGCGGCCCCACTCGCAAGCGTCGTGTGCCTAGAGTCCAGCGGCGACTGGAGTCAGAGGTACGCTCGCCAGGACTGCTGAGTAACCCGCACTATCTCCACTCGCGTAGCTTGGGCCCCCCGACCCTGCCCCCGGCACTCCGACTCGGAGAGAGAGGCGCACGACGGCGCGGCGGGCAGCGGCGGCGCGGGGGGCAGCGGCGGCGCGGCGGGCGGCGGTGGTGCGGCAGGCGGCGGCGGGAAGCAGCCGGAGACCTATGGTAAGGTAAGGAGCGCGCTCAAGGCAAGGTGAGGTAAACTTCTCCACACGCATCACAAGGTGGTGGGTACTCTGCATGGAGGTGACAGGGGGGGGGGGGGGGGGGAAACATACACTCTGGGGGGATACCCGGGGCTATACACTCTGCATGGGGGTCCCGGCCACCCACCTCGGGGAGGGGCTCGCAATCCGCGCCCCCGTCGTAAACGCACATATGGAAACGTCCCCCCCCCTTGTCGGGGTAAAAATCGTGGCAACTGTCCCCCGGCGCCAACCGGCAGTGCTTGCCGTTCGGGACGGGAGTGCCCCGCGCGAGGTCCCCCCAGGTGAAAGGTGGCGACAGCGGCGGCGGCGGCGGCAGCGGAGGCGGCGACGCTGGCAGCGGAGAGGCGGCGGCTACCGGCGGTTTCGTGGGCTGGGCAGCCGCGTGGGAAGCGGCGAGCGCGAGCGCGGCGGTGGCCAGGCTTGGCGAGGTGTGCATATCTTTACATTACGTACAGATGGATTTTTGGACACAGTTCGAGTGTGAAGAGACGCTGTTCACTGAAGAATTTAACTCCGCCCAAGACGCACAAGCACAGACAGTCGAGTGGTGGCGGCGTGCCGTCCTCCCATCCCTCCCTGGGGGTGTCTTTTTCTTTCTTTCTTTAGACAGTCGAGAAGGGAGAGACAGCAACGACAGTCAGAAGCGCTGGGTACCAGGAAGGCGCTGTTCACTCGCTGTGTCAAAGGGCAAGAAAAGATCGGATACATACCAAAAGATCGGATACATACAACCTTTTCTCACTCGAGTAGAGTCATCGCCACGCTGCGCGTATTGTCGTTGTCGCTGTATGTATGTATGTAGGTTGTAGGAAGGCTTCCAGCCCTTCCAGAGGAGGTAGCCCGCCGCGGCGGCACCGTCCGACAGTCAGCCTGACGTTCACCGCGGCCATGCACTCGCTCTCTAATGTGCCGTCGTGCGTCAGTTGCCAGTCCGCGACGCTGGATGGGACCAGCGGAGGGAAAGAAGAAAAACAGGAGCTTGTGGAAAACCATCATAATGTGAAAGAAAATAGAGGAGAATCACTGTGTGCGCTCTCGCATCCGAACACACAAAGTTAATCACTCCTTTACTACTTGTTGATCCTGCTCGGCTCCAGCAAGAACACAAAACTCCAGCTCAAGTAGAACAAGTGTTGCCATCAACAGGGTGAAGGATCTGCCCTCGGGGCTGCGTTCTAGTCATTGATTGATTGATGGGAAGGCGAAACACAGTCCGACCAACGACTTGGACACCAACGCGGTATGGGTGGACGCAGGACGGGCGATGACGGTCACACAGGAGCGACACACAGAACCACAAGACAAGACACTTAGCCAAACTGACTGCCACACATCCTGAGCGAACTTCCCTAGTCACCCGCGGCCGGACTCCATCCGGCACGCGTCGCTGGGCGCTCAGAGCTGCGTCCCCTGCTCGCCACCCCGACGCCCAAGGCGCCCGAGTGAACGACAGGCGGCACGCGAAGACTGATTGCAATCCCGCCGACCGCCAGGCCGCGGGATGATGCGTGCGTGGTCTTGTAGTGGGTCTCGGAAGCTCCCCTCTCGGGCTAGGAGCCAGCCCCTCTCCCTTGCCCCCGGAACACTGTGTCCGAGTCGAGGCGTGTGCTTGCTGGTCGACGGCCGCGCGCGGTTGGCATTGTGACGAAGGTTGCGCGCGGCCGCGGCGCGCCCGCCATGGTTCGGCGCGGCGCGCCTACCAGCGGCAATTGTCGAGGCACGGGAACGCTTACCCGGGGTCATCCTCTGAGCCTGGTCGTCGGCGCCGCGATGCCACGGCGGCGCATTCGACGTCGTCGGCGCGCTGCCCCGCGTTGAGCCCCGCCGCTCGTAGCGACGGCCGCAGGTCGGCCCGAGCGCGCCCTGGCCGCAGACTGAAGAACATTGTAAATTAGTCATTCTAGTGAATGAATTGACTCATCCCAGTTGGAGATTTCCGACGTCCCTGTCGAGGTTTGCGTGACTTGGAGTGACGTCCGATCCTTTTTCATCGTCTAGAGACGCTGGGATACATGAGCACGGAGCAGGCCGCTCCCAGCCCCACGCTGCGCCCCCACGGCCCGCGCAGCGGCCGGCTCAGCCGCCCGGGAGCTCAGGCGCTAGCGGCGGCAGCCTCGGCGAGAAGATGAGCACGCCGTCGGACTGCGCCAGCACAATGCCGGCTCTGCGGCGCAACGCTTCGCGGCGCGCAGGATCCCTGAGCTGCTCCGACGCGGCCGTGCTAGCGGCGCAGCGTGGCGAGGAGGAGGCGGTGCTGGCGTGGCTTAACAGCGGCGGGCGGGTCAACGCGACGTACGAAAGCGGCGGCGTGAGCGGCATGACTCTGCTGATGGGCGCCGCCGGCCAAGGCCGCGAGCGGGTGGTTGAGCTGCTGCTGCAGCACGGCGCGGAGATCAACCTGCAGGACAGCGACGGCGGCACCGCGCTGATGCGCGCCGCTGGCGCAGGCCACGAGCGGGTGGTCGAGCTGCTGCTGCGGCACGGCGCGGCGGTCAACCTGCAGAAGCGCAACGGCTACACCGCACTGATGTTCGCCGCCAACCAAGGCCACGAGCGGGTAATCGACCTGCTGTTGCGGCACGGCGCTGATGTCGACCTGCAGGGCAGCGACGGCTACACCGCGCTGATAACCGCCGCCGAGCACGGCCACGAGCGAATGGTCGGCTTGCTGATACGGCACGGCGCGGAGGTCAACCTGCAGGAAAGCCAAGGCGGCACCGCGCTGATGCTCGCCGCCAGCAACGGCCACGAGCGGGTGGTCGAGCTGCTGCTGCGGCACGGCGCGGAGATCAACTTGCAGAGCAGCGAAGGCTGGACCGCGCTGATGTGCGCCGCCGACAGAGGCCACGAGCAGGTGGTCGAGCTGCTGTTGCGGCACGGCGCTGAGATTAGCCAGCAGAGCAGCAAGGGCAGCTGGACCGCGCTGATAGCCGCCGCCACCGACGGCCACGAGCGGGTGGTCGACTTGCTGATTCGGCACGGCGCAGATGTCGACGAGCAGAACGGCAAATGCGGGACCGCGCTGATGGTCGCCGCCCAAGAAGGCCGCGAGCGGGTGGTCGAGTTGCTGCTGCGGCACGGCGCTGAGGTCAACCTGCAGGACAGCGGCGGCGTCACCGCGCTGATGTGCGCCGCCATCCAAGGCCACCCCGCCGTCGTGCTCCGCCTGCTTCGGGCTGGCGCAGATGCAAAGGCTCGCTCTGCAGACGGCAGGTCCGCGCTGCAGATCGCCAAGGAGGATGCGGCCAGGGTGCTAGCTACTGCCGACGCCGCCAGTGCTCCTGAAACAGACCATGCCTGGTGCGTGCGCGCTCTCACAGAGCACGCAGCGGCGCTGAGGGAGGCGGAGGCGGCCGAGAAGGCGCTCGAGGTCAAGGGGCGGCGCGAGCAGCGCGAGCGGGAGGAGGCGGCGGCGGCGCGAGAGCGCAAGCAGGCGGCACGACAGCGCGAAGCAGAGCGAGCGGCGTACGAGGCGCGCCGGGCGGCGGACGCTGCGGCGCTGGAGGAGCAGAGGCGAGCCATTGCGGCGGAGGCGGAGGCGAAGCTGGCCGCTGAGCGAGCGGCAGCGGAGGAGATGCTGCGGGCGAGGGAGGCGGAGAGGCTTGCGGCGGAGGAGGCGCAGCGAGAGGAGCAGCGGGCGGCCGCGGCGGCGCGCAAAGCCGCTCAGGCAGAGGCGGCGCGGCGCGAGAAGGAGGCTGCAGACAGGAGGGCGGAGGAAGAGAAGGCGAGGCGGCGCGCAAAGGCGGCGGAGGCAACGGCGGCCAAGATGGAGGCCAAGGCGAAGAACAATAAGGCCAAGAAGGCGCCGTCTGCCTGCACGCTCGAGGAGGAGCGGAGGGCGCGGGCTGCGGCAGAGCTTCGCGCGCAGGAGGAGAGGGCGGCGCAGCTGGCTGCTGAGCAGGAATCGACGAGGCGAGCGGAGCGCGAGGCGGCAGAGCTAGCGGGTGCGGCGGAGCGGGCGGCGCTGCGCGAGGATGCGGAGCTGGCAGAGGCGCTGCGCCGGTCAGAGGCGGATGCGGAGGAGGCGCTGGCGCGTCGGGTGTCGCGGTGCGAGGAGGCGGTGAGCAGTGAGTCGACCGGCGGCGGCGGGGACTTGCAGCGGCGTGTCGAGCGGCTGGAGGCGAGCCTCGGCACGGCGACCGAGGGCAGCCTCGAGGAGCGGGTCGGCGCCATCGAGCGCTTGATCGGGCCAGAGGCGGGAGAGGTGGCGGAGCAGCCTCTGTCAGCCACCGAGCCGCTTGCTGCCGTCTCGCTAGCGGACGCCGGCCTCGACACGGGGCGGCCAGCTGCCCCAGAGTCCACGATGGGGGGAGAGACCACGTGCATCGTGTGTTTCGCGAGAGTCAAGTCGCATGCTGCGGTTCCGTGCGGGCACCTGTGTGCTTGCGGGCCGTGCTCTGAGCTGATGCGAGAGTGCCCTTACTGCCGCGAGCCAGTGATGATGTGTCCGCGTCCGGTCTAGTCAGTAGATTATGTTTGAGTCGGTAGATTATTGAGTCGGTAGATTATGTTTGAGTCGGAGCAGACGGCATCGACCGAGGGAACTGGGAAGTGAAGGGGCGCGGACACATCAGATTTTTATATAATAACCAGCAGCAACGCTCGCGCGTCGCGGGGCGCCCCCTCACCGAGAGCAGATATGATGTGTATCTATCTTAGAGTTGAGGTAGTGCGGCGCACATTGCTCAACACTGCGAACGAGTTTTGACACGAGACCAACGCGCATGCGCTGGTTTGCAGTGACCTCGCCTGCGTCGTCCGACGCGGTGCGGTCCAGGTGGGGCGATCGTCCGACCCGACGGCGGGCCGGACGGACGGGTACGTCGCCATGTGGTAACGACGCTAAAAAAGAATTTTTTCGCTCTCAGTGTGGTTGCGTGTTGTACTAGTGATGTCGCACTAGGCGGCCCGTTTTTAGTAAAAAGCAGATACCACATCGCGTGTGGTCGTCGAAAAACCGCATGTACGCCCGTCTGGGACCCTCTTCGTACGGCTCCGAAAACCGCTCCTTAACGACGACTACGCGGCCCGGCGGTCTATCTGCGCCTTCTCAGCGGTGGAGGGGATGTGGGAGGTACGTGCGGACCGCGTGGTGCTGCGATGGTTTGACGAGTGGGACTCCCAGCGTCGACTTTGCGACCCCACGGAGCCTCTGCTGCTCCGGGGGGGGTCTGCAGACCACCCGGCCGAACTTCAGAGTGGCGGTACTCCTCAAATACCGCTCAAACGCCCACGATGTTGTGGAGGGGACATATGCTGATAATCCTGGCCCGATTGGTTCGCTCAGAAAGCTTCTGGGCGGTCGTTAAGGTTCGCTCCCCGCACACCGGCCCCGGAATAAGGTAAGGTAAGCCGAGACGAGCCTCAACTCTCCCGCGCCGCGTCGCCCCCCGCGAGCGGCTGGCGCATCGAATCTGCCGGCGCCGCATCCCCAACCACCGCCCCCGCCACCGCTGCCAGCCTTCCCCCCGCCGACGGCCTCCCCGGCCGGCAGCCGTAGGCGGCGGCGAGGGCGGTGACAGCCAGCCACTGCACGGCGACGCACCCGGCGAGGCCGACGGTGCAAGAGGCGGAGAGCGCCGAGAGGCCGCCGCCGAAGCCCTGCACGAGCATCTCCACCGCGCCGACGGCGTACGCCTGCGGGGGAGAGGGGAGGGGAGCAGGGGGGTGGAGGAGGGGGAGGGGGGGGGTGCAGCCGAGGCGAGGGACACTTCCCGGACATGGCTTGGATGTGTCGTCGCACGAGAGGGGGAGGGGAGCGCACTCGCCTCACAGCCGAGAGACAGCCGAGCGACAGCCGAGCGACAGCCGAGCGACAGCCGAGAGACAGCCGAGAGACAGCCGAGAGACAGCCGAGAGACAGCCGAGAGACAGCCGAGAGATGGGAGAGAGATGGTCGAGAGATGGGAGAGAGAGAAAGAGAGAGAGGGAGAGAGGGGGAGAGGGGGGGGGGGGGGGAGAGAGAGAGAGAGAGAGAGAGAGAGAGAGAGAGAGAGAGAGAGAGAGAGAGAGAGAGAGAGAGAGAGAGAGAGAGAGAGAGAGAGAGGACACATAGCCGAGCTATTCCCGGCAGGCGTGTGGAGCGAGTTCGGAGGCGGACCTAGCCGAGATCTACCAAACTGTGGCGGGTCAATGGCGTGAGATAGTGATCTTTCGGGGCGCCTCGGGGACGCCGTCAGCGAGCTCGACTGCGCGGGAGAGCGCGAGGCCGATGAAGCCGATCGTGCCGATACCCGAGAGTGCCATCAGACCTGTTCACAGCAGCGGCCCCTGTGAAGAGAGGCGCCGTTCACAGCTCCGCGTCTTGGGGGGGGAGCATCGGGCCGGCGAGGAGCGGGAAGAGGGTCGCGGGGGGCAGCGTCGGGGCGACGTGAGGCGTAGAGAGCAGCGCGAGGGCGGTGAGGGAGAGCGCGGCGAGGAGGGCGAGGGCGAGGACGACAGCCTCCGCCGACCGCCGCGGGACAACAGCGCCGAGGCACAGGCCGCATAGCACGCCTGTGCGGCCGAGATCGCGCGAGATCGCGCGAGATCACGCGAGATCATCCGAGATGCGGCCGGGCCGCACGCCCGAGAGGAGGGAGGTGGCTGCCTCCGAGCTGCATCTGAGCTGCACCTCGGCTACACCTCGGCTGTCTCTCGGCTGCCTCTCGGCTGCCTCTCGGCTGCACCTCGGCTGCCTCTCGGCTGCCTCTCGGCTGTCTCTCGGCTGTGTCTCGGCTGCCTCTCGGCTGCATCTCGGCTGCATCTCGCCGGAGAGGATGAAGGAGAGGTTGGTGACGGTTGTGTGGCCGGTGTCGAATCCAGACCAAGCGTTGCCCGCGCCATAGCAGCTAGAGCTGTTCACACACGGACAGCTGTGAAGAGAGATGCGGGGAGATGTGGGGAGGTATGGGAGATGCGGGGAGATGCGGGGAGATGTGGGGAGATCGGCTGCACCCGAACAGCACGTCCTGTGCCGACGGCACCGAGAAGCCGATCCCGCCTAGTGAGGTCGAGATCTGGTCGAGATCTGGTCGAGATAGTGCCGAGGCATGGCCTCGAGATCTGGTCGAGATCCGGTCGAGATCTGGTCGAGATGCGGGCGAGATATGGCCGAGATGCGGCCGAGGTCTGCCTCGTGGAGGCCTCGAGATGCGGCCTCGAGATGGCAGAGAGATGCAGCGCGGAGAAGTGGCCGAGATGTGCAGCGGAGACCCCGCCAATCTCCCGCCAATCTCGCGCCAATCTCGCGCCAATCTCGCCGATCTCCCGCCAATCTCCCGCCAATCTCCCGCCAATCTCCCGGCTATCTCCCGGCTATCTCCCGCCGATGGCCGCGTAGGGAACGGCGCGCCGCCAGAACGGGCCGTTGCTGGCGAGCGAGCGGAGTGCGGATGAGGCGTTCGTCGCGGCGGCGCCGGCCTGCGGTGTGAATACGCCAGCATGAGGGCGGGAAGACGGTACTGTGCAGCGCCTTCAGAGCACCGCGTGAGGACGAGAGAGGCGAATGCAGTGAAGACTGCAGAATAGGTGTCGAATGCAGCAGAGTGCGTGTCCTCTCGAGCGCTGGTTCGGATCCAAGCATCGTCTTCCTCTTCTAGGGGCGCCGGCCGCGCTGGCGGTGGAGGAGGCGAGCTGTTCACAGGTTCACAGCTCAGCCGGTCGTATCCGGCTGCATCTCGGCGAGATCTCGGCTGCATCTCGGCGAGATCTCGGCTGCATCTCGACCCTATCTCGACGCGATCTCGGCGCCACCTCGGCTACCGCGCCGGCGCTCTATCTCGGCTCAATCCAGGCTCTGTCTCGGCTCCATCTCGGCTGCCGTGTCGGGCTGCTGCTGGTCTGCGGCGTGGCGGTCGCGGTAGAGGAAGAGGCAGAGAGGCAAGCAGCAAGAGATGGCGACTGCCTGCCACCCGAACACTGCTCTCGCACGCTCCGCCTCGCCCGCCTCGCCCGCGCCGATGAGCGAGCCCAGCGCCCAGCCGAGGTAGTTGGACTGGACCGCTATCGAGGTCGCCAAGCCGCGGTGCGAAGGGCGGAACCAGCGCTCAGAGACGGCAGTGAAGGAGCAGACGACGACCGCCGCCGCGCCGCCGCAGACGAGGCTCGAGAGGACCGCGAGCGCATACGAGGAGCGGACGACAGCGAGGTATCGGAGCCATCCTCCGGCGACGTTGAGCGCATTGGCGAACGCGACCGTGCTCCAGTGATGCCGCACGACTCCCCACGCGGCGAGCGGCATCACAGGCACGACGGAGAGGAGGAAGAGGGAGTAGAGGAGAGCGACGTCAGCCTCGCCGGATCGGAGCAGCCGCTCGTTTAGCCCGTAGTCATCCGAAAAGTCCATGCACATGAAGGCGTTTGAAGCGGAGAGGTACGAGAAGGAGCCGAGCACCGCCCAACGCCAGCCGCTGCGCCACGCAGCCGGGCCCTCGGGTGTCACCCGCGAATGCGGAGGCGGCTCAGCAGGCGAGCGTGAGGCCATCGCGAGGGCTCCGGCGGCGGCGGGCTAGGTGGATAAAATTTGGCGGCGTTGGCCGCGAGGAGTAGAGGCCGGCTCGATTGAGGATATCCTTTGTGTGTACTTGTTACGTGAAAACCTGTAGTTTTCTACTACCGTGGGGACAACTGCCCTTGCGTGGGGACATTGCGTGGGGACATTGCGTGGGGACATTGCCGAACGCGCGCCAAACGCGCGCCAAGGGGCGGCGGCGCATGACGAAAGGCTGGAGCTGGCGCCAGCTGGCATTAAAAAATTGCCCACCAGAGTGTTCTCGAGGTTCTCGAGGTGATATCCTTGCCGCGTTTGGCAGCGAGGATTGGTGTGACGCGATCCACGCAGGCGTGTTTTCTGACGGCCGACCGTCAGTGCACGGAGTTGCCCCTTCTCCGACTGCCCCGGCTAGTTCACGAGTTTGGAGTACTTGGCGTCGGCTAATACTTATTTATTCTTCGGCAGGCGGCGGACCAGCTGAGTAACAAACTTTCGCACGCTCAGCACCTCGACGAGGTCACATGGACCACCAAGAACTGGCACGGGCTGCAGATGCAGCGCTTGTCTGTCGTTCTCCACACCGCCGTGGCGTGGCAGACGGTGAACGAGCTAGCGTGCGGGGACAGCGGCATTGTGCACGGAGCTAAGTGCATTGCCGTTCTTAACGGAGTCGCTTAGGCGGCTCCGGTGGTGTGCCGGTGATAGTACTAGCACGCGCCAGTTCGCACCTGTGTCGAGCCTGTGTGCTGTGAGAGAGAGTTGTCTTGTTTAAATACTTATTTTTCTTGGACTGTTGTAACCGACCGGCAACGTCGGCGAGGAGTCGAAGACACAGCACATGCACGCATAATGCCACGCCCCGACGTCGACCGACCGGCCGGCCTCGACGCGCGGCGGCTAGTCGCCTTCAAGGCCTGCGTCGACGAACTCTCTCGGCTGAGCGCCGGCCGCGGCGAGGACGGCGCACTTCTCGCTCAGATCAGCCACGACGGCGCAGGTGCCGCACAGCAATCAGAGAGCGGAGCAGCCTTGCTGTGTTTTCATGGGAAGATCAAGGCGTACTGCACTGGTAGCAGGCCGCGCGCACCATGCTAGCTGCATCGACCGCTTCACGCACACATTGTCCGCACGTTGTTGCGCAGTTGGCCTCAGCTCGGTCTCCAAGCGCTCTGACGCGGCGCAGCTGCTGATCGAGTGCCGCTACCGCGATGAGTGGCGTCAGCAGCGTTGCGCGAGCGCCCTCGCCTCCATCGGTGCTGAGCGGGACGCAGCCGTGGTGAGTGGATTCTCCTGACCTGAGATCCTGCACACAACCACGCACACGCACGCACGCACCCCGACGCACACAAGAACACATGCACGCACACACACAGACACGGTGGGCTCCCTCTGCACATCCACAACCTCGGCGCCACGCCTCGCCTTGCTTCGAGCGTAGGTTGAGAGAATGTGCGAGTACGTTGGTGCGCTTTCGCCAGACGGCGCCGAGCCCGGGGCGGCTCCGTACACGACTAACTGACGGATCCGCTCCTGACAGTCGCACGCGCCGCGCTGCGGCGCGTGCGACTGTCTTTGTTTGAAGTAAAAAGTCGAATCAGAGCGCCGTCGGCGCTGCCCTCCGTTTTCCTCCCCCCCATCAAGCTGCTGTAAGGCCCCGGCATCGCCTTCCCAGGCTTAGCTAGACTGAGAGATATTGTGGACATGGTTGGTCTCTACAATATATACACTGACACTGAACCTCCCAGATCTCGTCCCGGTCCGTCACGGCCATCCTTGGCCTCCGGAGGGCCCCCGGCCGCGGCGCGGTGCGGCGGCGTCACAAATCCGACCACAGAGCACCGGGACGCGGTCGGGCGATCTGAGGCCCAACTAGGCGTGTGCATAGTAGCCACGCCGACCCGCCGCTGCGCATTGGGCAAAGCGCGAGCCCAGCAGTTCAGTCAGGCACGCACGCTGCACCCACGACGGCGGCCTCGGGGCGCGCGCGACCGAACGCGCTTGCGCCGCCGCCACGCCGTCGTTTCCCATCGCCGCCGGACCGCCCTCCCTCCTCCGCGACAGACGCCGCAAACACGGCGCTTCTCGCCGCCCAAGCAACAGCAGCAACAGTGGCAGCGAATCTTCGCGTCGCTGGTGCACGCGGTGCGGACTCGCCGCAGTCTGGCGGGCGCTCGTCTCGCCAGGACCAGGCGGCCGAGCAGGCTGTGATCGCGGCCGAGGCGGATGGGCTCGGGCGGGTGCTGCCTGGCGGCGCTGGCTCGAGAGTCAGCCGCGGCACTCTGCTCGGCTGCGGCCGCAGGGCAGAACACCGCCGGAGGAATACCTCGCGGTAGTGGCTGGGCAGCAAGCGTGCTGCTGCCTGAACAGCGGCGTGGGCGGAAGCAGCCTCCTCCCGCAGCTGCACTGCCTGGTGCACGACCTGCCCGCGAGCCTGCTCTGCCTGGCGGCGGCGCTGTTGCTCCTCGCGGAGCCGCTCCAATTGCTGCTCAAGGCGCTCCGCTTGCTCCTCCCGCGTCGCGGTGGCGACGCTCGTGCACGCGGAGCTGCGCACCGCAACCACGCAGGCGCGAGGCTTAGCAGCTGCGACAACCGTTGCAGGCACGGGCTGGGACGGTGCAACCGCCACTGCAACCAAGCGTTTGGCCGGCTTCACGACCTCGGCAGTCACCACGCTCCGCCCGCGCTTGGTCGCGTTGCCGTGCGGTGGCTGAGCCGATGCCGGCGCCAGAGTGGCCGCGACGATCATCGGCGGGCGGCACGGTTGCCAGCGTGGCGACTCGAGAGGCGCGACGACTCGCGCCAAATCGGCGATTTTCACGTTCACGCGCTCAACCCCACCCAAATCTTAGCTCAAATTTTGAATTTTGTCTGGTGAGTTATGTGGATCGTCCTTCACCAGTGCATAGAGCGGAGGGCAAAACTAAAGGGAGGGATGGTGCTTCCGTCGGTTTCCATTGACGAGAAAGATGTTTTGTCCACATACGTCATACCACAAGAGAATGCAACTCAAGTTTTGATCGCTCACATTTGGCTAGTGTCGTGCGAGGGAGTTTTGTTGTAAAATTCTTTTGCGGCTCCAGTGGTGTACCTGTGTTAGTGCCAGTGCGCGCCAGTCCCGTGCCCAGTGTTGTGCGAGGGAGTGCTTGTAAAATTCTTTTGCCTGTGTACCTGTGTTAGTGCCAGTGCGAGCCAGTCCCGTGCCCAGTGTAAGAAAGAAAGAAAGAAAACAGACAACCCAAGGGAGGGATGGGAGGACGGCACACACACACACACACTGTTGTGCGAGGGAGCAGGTTGTAAAATTCTTTTGCCTGGGGCTGCCGACTGGGCGAGGGCCGGGCGAGGCGCAGGCGGCGGGCGAGGCGGCGGTGCGGCGGGCGGCGGGCGGCTTGCGTCGTGGGTGCGCGTGGGGGAGGCGGCGCGGGTGGCAGGCGCAGGCGCGGGTGGGGCTTGGGCGGGGGGCGAAGCCGGGAGCGGCTCGCGGGTTGGTCCGGTGGGGGGGGCGGGGCGGGGCGGGGCGGGGTGGATCGGGTCGGGGCGGGGCGGGGCGGGGTTTCTCGGGTCGCGGTGGGGCGGGGTTGTGGGGTGGGGTGGGGATGTCGGGTTGGGGAGTGGGTGGGCGCCGGAGTGGGAGTGGTGTGACTGCTCCTGTGGTGCGGGCGACGGCTTCTGAGGAAGCCGTCGCCCGCGCCTCACCTGTCGCGTGAATCGTGTCGTGCGACCGCCTTTTGTTGAAAAATTCTTTTGCCTCTCCAAGCTCGTGTAACAAGCGAGGAGCGGCAGCTGCACCGCAAGACGCATCGGAGCCGGCTGGGGCTAGACCGACAGCACCGACATCCATGGAGGAAGGTCCTGCAGCGTTCGGACCAGAAAACGATACAAGGGTGATCAGCGTCGACGAGATGGTGAGTGTGGCTACGGGCACAAGCGCGATGCCGATCATATCGTCCCTCAACTTTGGTTGTGCCGTCGGTGCAATCCTGTTTGTCGATTGGGTGCCCGGTCCCGATGTGGTCAAGTTCTTGCTGGCCGTGTCTGCCGCGCTCTCCCTCTTCTCGACCACTTTTGCGCTTCTCGAAGTGTACTACATCCACATGGTTGTTGGGAGAAGCACGCGCCAGAACAATTCGGCGGCACAAAACGCGCGATTCAGTGCGCTATCGATGACGGTGCGGAAGTTCACGCTCTGGTTCGGCGTAGTATCGCTCATCATTGCTTGTGCCATACTCGTATGGTCTATTGGCGGCATTTGGAACAAGCTGTCCGGAGTCGCATTGGTTGTGGGCTCGGCGGCGGTACCTATCACCGTATGGCTCTTTCGCTCTGAGTACCGAAAGCTGCTCGCCGACTCTTAAGTTGTCGTTGAAGTCGTCGAACCACGCGGGCGGTCCATCCTCAACTGGCGAGGGAGCCTCGCCTTCGGCCTAGACGAGAGCTCCTTAGGCCTTTGACATGTTCGCGAAGACTTCACGGATCTGTCCCTCTGACGGATTGATTGTGTCGCCAAGCCGGCCTTTGAGCTTCTCGAGCTCAGCCGCTCGGACGAGGAGTGATTAGGTGGGGAGAGGGCGCTTCCTTGGTGTCTAGTATTTCGAGAGACGAATTTATTCATTCACAGCTGTGGCTTGCGTGTTCGGTGACGGCCGGTGGCCCTATACAAAGAAGAATAACAATCCCGCGAACACGGCCTGCTCCTCCATTTTCGAGTTCGCTCGAGTCGAGCGCCAGGGACAGCACCTCCATTTTCCCGGAATGGCGACTCGCCGAGCGGCTCTCATCGGCGACGCGTTCGTCGACGTTCAGGTGGGCGGCGTAGGCGCGCTGCCCTGCTGGGGGACGGACGTCGCCTGCTCCTCTGTGCGGCTACTGCCAGGAGGCGCCTGCGGCAACACCGCTCGGCAGCTCGGAGCGCTCGGCGGCTGCGAGCTCGAGGCCTTCTTCTACTCGTGCGTCGGCGACGACGAGCCTGGGCGGCACTACCTCCGCACGCTCGAGGCCGAGGACAGCCTGACGTCGCCGTCGCGCACGCTCCGCCTGCTGCCGGGCGTGCCGCAGTCGTGCTGCGTCATCCTGTCCGGCAGCGAAGACCGCGCGATGTGCTCCTGCTACGAGACCGTGCACCGCGTCACGACAGGACTCTTCTCGGCGGAGCTGCTCGCAGAGTCGTGGGCGCTGGTGCACCTCGGAGGCTACTTCAACTGCGTCGGCTTGCACGACGACGCGCTGCTCGACCTGCTCCGCGCACTCAAGGCACGCTGGAGTGAGCATGGCATGGCCGCTCCACACCCCGTGTGTTCACACCCCCCGCTGTGAACCAAGGCGCGCGGCACGCTGCTCTCCATGGACCCACAGCACGACTGCTCCGGCAAGTGGAGCGGCGAGGGCGGCCACCTGCGCCGGCTTCCGCCGCTAGATGGGGGGATGGGGTCCTCTCGTCTTCCAAACTAGCACTCGAGAGGACACACGCACTCCGCCGCACTCCGCCGCACTCCGCTGCAGTCCGCCGCACTCGTGGCGCGGGTGTACAGAGAGGTCGATCAGAAACAAGAATGTCACATCGCAGACAGTGAGGGCGGGAGAGGCGGAAAGGGAGGTGCTTCACAGCGGGTGTTCACACTCGGGTACTCCGAAGACACTACGCGATGATACTGTGCTCACGCCCTGACTGGGTGTATCCGCGCCGTGTAGTCTTCTGCCGCTGCTCGACGTCTTTCTGCCAAACGAGGCAGAGGCGTGCGGCATCGCCTCTGTCGGCGAGCCCACCGCCGTCGCCACCGCCGAGGAGGTGAATGGGGGTAGTGAGTGAGTCAAGCATTCATTGATCAGTCAGTTGAGACACTCAGGCAAGACGCGCAAGGCGCGCACCGCCAGCGGCACTTGCCACGCCCAGCGATCGCCCAAGCCTCGACAACACTCGTCTGAACGGGCTCATTAAAGGCCGTCTCGCCATGTGCGTGCGTGCTAGCCTCGCGGCGTGGGAGCTGTGCTGAAGTCCCTCGCCCTGAGTGAGCTGCGCACGAGCGCCCGCGCGCCCGATGTCTACTTGTTGACCGACAGGCGATCGACCAGCTGACGGCGCGGCACCCCTCCACCTTGGTGGTGGTCAAGGTCGGGAGATATGGGGAGATGTGGGGAGATATGGGGAGATATCTCCACCTTGGTGGTGGTCAAGGTCGGCGGGCGCTCTCCTCTCGCGACGCCGTGAACGGCGTCTCTCCACCCCTCCTCCTCTGAGCAGGCCGGCGGGCGCGGTATTCTCGCTGGGCGAGGCGGCGAGCGGTGGGAGGTGCCGGCGGCGCCGGTGGAGGCGTTTGTCGACGCGACGGGCGCGGGCGACGTTTGCGAGGCGGGCCGCGGTGAAGTCTAGGCGCCGGTGACGGGCGCAGCTGTGAACAGGCGCGGGCGACGCCTGCTCCGCCGGCTTCCTCGCGCAGGTGTCTCGGTGTGGAGATGCGAGGGGCTGCCTGGCGTTTGCCCCACCCCCCTTGCGTGTGCGGAGAAGCGTACTTGTCTCGCTACTTTGCCCTGCTCTCCTTCTTACCGTGCCCCTCCTCACCGCAGTATCTGCGCGACCCGGCGGACGTGCCCACCGCGTTGCGGTGGGGCGCGGCAGTGGGTGCGCTCTGCGTGAGCCGCGCGGGCGCATGCGAGACGCCGCTGGCGGCGGAGGAGGTGCGGGCCGTGCTCGAGTGCGGCGCCGTCAGGAGAAGCGCCGATGTCAGTGATGGGTGCGTCTAGGAAGTGTATTGAATGTAGAGTAGTCGCGGAGCTGCTGACAGAGTGCTGTGAGTCTCTGGGCCGGCGCGGGGCCCCCCGGAGGCACCGTGCGCCGCGCCGCAGTGCGGAAACGGGCTGGAAACGGGGCTCCGGCGCTCAGAGTCGCTCAGAGCACCAACTTCCCGATTAAGTACGGTTAAGTAGAGGGCAGATTTGGAGAGATCTCGAGGAGTACATACAGATAGACCCTCCAACCACCAGAAAACTCCGACCTGATCGGTCGTACTGACCGCCGACAGATCACTCCAGACAGCAGACAGGGGCCGACGTCTGCACGCGGCCGGCCGGGCGAGAGGCTTGACACGATCCGACCCTGCGATCCTGACGCTGCTGCTCTAGCTATCAGCCATGCACTGCTGACTGCTGCCACAATGTGCGACCTGTGCTGGCCCACTTGGCGGCCTTCCCGGTCAGTGGTGAGGCGCAGTTCAGAGCTGTCGATGGCGCGATGCCGCACTGGTCCCACATTGGTGACACGAGACCACCAAGTTTGCCGGTCCAAGAGAGAGGCACCGGCGCTGTCCTGAGAAGGTGCGCGGTCCTTCTTGACTGCCCATGCGCGCGAGGCTGTGTAGGCATAGCCTCGAGAGTGCCAGCAGCCAATCCGAGGTGACGCGCATTGCGCCAGAAGCGTGCACGCAGCTGGAAGGACACCTTCCTACTGGCCGTACGATCAGGTCGTCACTGAATGCTTGATACTAAGGCCGCGAGCTATGCAGGTGATCAATTGTGCATCATGGCACGGTCAGCTGCGCCGACAGGCTGTCGCAAGGCGTGATAGCATGGCCGCAAGTACGCCGAATTCCCATGAAAACAAGTAAAAAATCGCGAAAAAAAACTCAAAAAAATCGGCGCCTGCGGCGGGCCATGGGACCCCATCTCCCCCCCGCATGGACACCCTCTGGGGCCCCCGCGCCGGCCCAGAGCTGTGAGTTGGATCGCGCTGACCCCTCAACGCAAAACAACGGGGGCGGTGGGCGTGCGCGCGGCGCGGTACGGTGGTGTGTGTGCCGCGACCCCTGGCGCCACGGCCGCGCCGCCCTCGGCGGCGCCGCGGCGCCTTCCGCCCGCCCTCGACCTCCTCCTCCCCCCCCGCGGCGGCAATCGTCCCATCGCCGCTCTCCGGCAGCGCGGGCTCCAAGGGGTCCAAACTGGATCCCTCGGTCCCACCTCCGGACCCACCTTCAGCGGCCTGCGCGTCGCAGGCACCGCCGTCCGCCTCTTCGGGGCGCGCGCCGCCGCGGCCCTCGCCGCCAGCCGCTGCCCCGCCACCAGCCGCCTGATCGCCAGCCGCCACCCCAGCCGGGGTGTCGCCCAGCGACAAGCCGCTGAGGGATGCCAAGACCGCAGCTGCGTCCCCCCAGCCCCGCAGGCCGAGAAGAGCTCGGCGGAGCTTCTCCGCCTGGCGGTCGTGGATGTCGAGCGAGCCGATGCCCTTCTCAGCGACCTCCTCGAGGAGGTCGCCGGCATCGCCAACGCCCAGCTCCGCGAGCCGCCCCTCATACCTGCGGTAAAGGCTGTCGGCGACGCCCGCGCGCTTGAACAGAGCCGCGAGCGGCTCTCGCAGGTCGATGGCGGGCGAGGCCGCCATCGAAGGCGTGGTGCCCGGCCGCGTGGCCCCCGGGCTGCGGGTGGGTGCTCGCTGTGGCGGCCGCCGAGAGGGCAGAGAGCGGCGGCAGGCCGCCGACGGCGTCAGAAAGAATTCTCAGTCTCGCGTCGTCACCTCGCGCTGGATGCAGGCCTCCACGACGGCGGTCGGCGCGGCAGAGGTGGCGACCGGTCCTGAGCGCCTCCCTCCTGAGGCTGAGCACACCGACAATGCTTGCTCGCTGCAAGCACCGGACTCAGACAAGGGTGCACCGTCGTCAGATCCTTGGGCACCACGCATGCACCACACGGTCGACGTCGCTCCGTCCAAGCGGACAGCATGCCACGAGTGTGGGCGTGCCTTCAATTCAGGTGCCGAGAGAAAGCACAACGCACACATGCATCCCGTCCCATGTGAGACCGGAGTGTACCCCCGCTTCTCACACAGGCGAGCTGCGCGTTGCGCACGTCTTCACCTGCACCGCGTATGGCAACGTGTGCTCCAAGACGCGCTGGTTCCACGTGGACCACTGTGACGTGCCCCCCGATGGATGGTGCAGCGTGCAGGGCTACGACCTGCTAGAGCCCACGGCTCGGAGGTGTGCCGCTCCTGAAACATGGATATGCGACCCTCCCCGTCCCGCTGCTCTTTACGTGCGATTGTGGGGTGCTGCAGGGTCCTCGAGGGACACACGCGATCCGCATCCTGCTCGACAACATCGTCGCCCTCGGGACCAGCCCGTCGTCGCGCACGACGACGCAAGACCGCCGACCCGCCCTTCAACCCCAAGCGCACGAAGAGCCCGGTGCAGCGCTTTGCGAACGCTTGCAGACTCGCTGTCCATGCCGACGTTGAGGCGTTCCGCGCCGCCTTCTTTCGGGAGCACGACTCGCCGCGCTGTCCAGTAACAGACGAGCCGCTCGAGCGGGTGACGAGTCACGTACACCACGACGGGGGCCTCACCGCGTTCCACGCTCTAGTTCGCGCCTTCGTGCGTGAGAAGCACGTCAACTTGTCTCGCATTGAGTACCTGGCGGGCCGTCTGCTCGACGACTCTCTTCGTGGCGCATTTGTCGCCTACCACAAGGAGCACGCACGGCTGATGGTGGTAAGCGGCACCGCAAATCTCAGCCACCTCCGCAAGGGTTGATGTGGTGGCCCTCCAGTACCACATAATCAGCGGCCTGCTGAAATACTACGAGGCGAACGAGGCGCAGAGCGGAAGGTGCGCATGGAGTTCGCCGACGGCCGGGTGCATTACTACAAGGGCGAGAAAGGTGCTGAGCGGGTGGTGCGCGATGATGCAGTACTTCGAGGGCGAGAAAGGTGCGGAGAGGATGGTGACATGGAATTCGCCGATGGCCAGGCGAATTGCTTTGAGCGGTGCGCACCGAGGTTTGCCAACGGCCGGGTGCCCGACTATTGACTAGAGCTATTCGCGTTACGAGAAAAACACGTTTGACTTGCAGGCGCCACGCGTAGAGCTGTAGCGCGTACGCGTGTCTCTCTGCGAGTCTCGTTACTGCTGTGTGCTGACGATGTTGCGCGTTTTCAGTCTCGCAGGGATCGTGGACGCGAAAGTAGCCGGTGGGTCCTGTTTGAGAGTTGCCAGAGTTGCGTCGTCTCGAACGCGTCGAAGTCGGGGTGTGGTGTCGGGTGTGCGCGCAAGAAAATTGTCCGTAACGGATCGCGATATTTGAACCGGAGAGACGGCACGCGCGCAGAACGCGCGACACATAAACTACGACTCAGCCCTTCGGCCCTGCAGACTGCACACTCGCAGTGTGGCCCCGCCGTGCGCTCAGCGCTTAGACCATCGCCCCATTCCCCGACGCGCCCGCCGCTCCGACGGCCTTACCGACACCGCCTTGCTGCGACAACGCATCCGCGGCCTTGCCTTCACCGCCGCTGCTGCCGCCCCGGTGCTCCGCGGCGTCGGAGCCTGCCGCCGCCACCGGAGCTTCTTGAACGACGCCCCAGCCGCCGCTGGAGCCGCCGCAACTGTTCGCCGAGGCGAGTCGCGAGCGCGGCGTGGTGGGCCTCGAGAGCCTAGCGGTGAATACGCCAACCTCGGGGCGGGACTTCGGTATTCTGCAGTGTACTCAGAGCACTGCCTGACGACGAGGGGCACGGGCACTGTGAAAACAGCATCAATCCGTGCCCTCTCGCGCGCTAGTTGGAATGCAAGACTACGGTCTTCCGCTTCTAGGCTCGCGAGCTTGCCCGCGATTGTCCGCCGGCCGGGCGAGGACGCCGAGGAGGAGGGCGAGGCGAGCGAGGAGGGCGAGGCGAGGGAGGGGGGCGGTCCCAGCGAGGCAAGACCCGACGAGACGGAGGAGAGGTCGAGGAACGCGGCGAGCCGCTCGAGCGCGTCGGTGGCGGGGTGTGAGGCGAGGATGCCCAGCGCGTTCCGCAAGTACTGCTCGAGCACCTGCGCGCGCTTCGCCTTGAAGGTGTCGTCTGGCGGTGCGAGCGGTAGCTTTGCGGGCGACGCCAGCGCCAGACCGAGTGCCTCACCGGCACCGGTGTGCAGCCTACGCGCTAAACACACCGACCTCGGCGCAGACTTCGGTACGGTGCAGGGTATTCAGAGCACCGCGTGAGTACGAGGCAGGCCACCACAGCGGAATACGGCTGAATGTAGCTGAATATGTGTCATCGCAAGCGCTGGTTGGATCACAAGAATGCGTAGCCTGCTTCTAGAGTGGCAGCCCTCGGAAGTCATTGAACCGCTTGTGCAGCCGGCGAGTGGGCGCCTCCACGTCCTTCACAGACGCGGAACCCGGCTCCTTCACCTCGATCACGTAGTGCGTCACGCCCTCGCGGTCCTCCCAGCCCGCCACCCGCACGGCGGACGGCCGCGGCAGCCGTCGCGAATACGCCACCGGCGAGGCGGCGCCCGCCATCACCTCGCATGACACGGGGTCGTCCGAACGCACATGGTCGTCCTCAATCAGGCGCTGCCCGCCCACGCCTCTCTGGCCCACCACGCCTCTCATGGTGGCGCGCGTGGCGGTGGCGCGCGCGCCGCTCGGCGGTCCCGCCGCTCGCGCAAACATAGTGAGCACAGTGAGCAGCAGGAAGAGCGTGCCGACGATGGCGAGCGTCAGTTTCAGCTCGGACGCGTCGTCCCACGCTTCGCCGGAAGCGAGCGTGTAACTGGTGGTGCCCTCGAGCACCTCGCCATCCTGGTAATCCCTTCGCATCCGACCACACGGGGTTTGAGCCGGCGAGACTCTCGAAGGACGGCCGGGGCCCGTCAAGGCAGAAAAGAATTTTTCGACCCCCCCCCACCCCTTGTTTGGTGTGTCCGTTTTATTCAATGTATGTGGCTCTTACGTACTTATTTATTTAGAAAAAATTCCATAAAACTCCCTCGCACAACACTGGGCACGGGACTGGCGCGCACTGGCACTAACACAGGTACACCACTGGAGCCGCCTAAGCGACTCCCGCGAGGACGGCGAGGCACTTAGCTCCGTGCACTCGACCGCCCTCGCCGCTGGCAAGCTCATTCACAATCTGCTCTGCGATTGCCGTGTGAAGAACGACTGAGATGCGCTGCTTCTGCAGCCCCAGCCAGCTCTTGGTGGTCCAAGTCACCTCATCGAGGTACTGGGCCCGCGTCCGACCCTCGCGACGAGCTCCGTCTTCCTCCACTCGTCGTCTCCGAGGAACGCCCCGAGCACGCGGATGCCTCGCAGGGTGCCGCCCGCGTACTTGCCGTCGGGAGGCGCCGCCGGCGTGCCCCTCACGCTCGGGTAGTCGCGCACCGCCTCGAGCGACGCGGGGTCGGGCGCCCAGATCTGACGTTTGCTGACGTTGCTCTCCACCCCGCTCCACCTCCGAGCGAGGTCGTCGCCTTCGAGCATCGCCTCAATGTGAGAAAAGAATTCTAGACTCCGTTTGGAGGAAGTATTGGCACGTTACACTTGCACCGCACGCCGCATCTCTGATTGAGCAGTCGCAACCTTCGCTCTGTAACTCGCCGCGACAAGTCCACATGCTGGTCATCGCCTCCATTGCGCTGGCGTTCGCGGCCCAGCCTAGCAGCTACCAGCCGCTCACGTTCTTCACGGCTCCGTGCATTGGCCAAGGCATCTCACTCGACTTTGCCGGCGAGGATGGGCGCTGGACGTATCACAACCTCACGGTGGGCTTGGCGGACATTGCTCCAACGATGGTGGCGCAGAGGGACGAGGGGGCCGGCACGTACTACCGGCTCATCAAGTCGAGCACAATGCTCGAGGGCTACCTGCACGGCTACGAGAAGTACGTAACGCACCACCACACACCCGCACATCGTTGCTTCATCTGCATGCACCGTACCTTAGGTACGGCTGGGACTACAATCCGGATCAGCTGGCTTTCTCCTCGACGGTCAATGAAGGCGAGATGAACCCTGCCATGATCACACTGCTCGCACAGGGCGAGGGGGACGACGCCGCGACGCAGTTGATGGCCTTCCAGTTCTATGGGCTCGAGCGCGGGCTCACAGCGGGCACCTTCAAGTTCACTCTTCGCACATACCCCACGTTCGAAGATAGCCAGTTCGAGCCGCACCGTACCGCGCATTCCGTGTACGACAAGCACCAGCCCCACTTCCACACCCTGCCCGAGGCCGGCAAGACTGCAATTGTCGCGCCGCCTCGCGCCAGCGCGACTTGGACCACGTGCTCCCTCGAGATCTACTTTACTCCGTTCGCCATCGCCGCCACAGTCGGCACTCTGGCCCTGGGAGCAAGGTAGCTCGCTCCAGGTCAGCGACTGCCGCCGCCGCCTCCGAGATTGCCGAAGAAGGGGGGGACCACGTGCTCCTTCGGAAAGTGAGAAACGCCGGGCAGCGTGGTGCACGATTTCAACCTCCCATACGTTTTGTTCCGCTTCTCCCTCGGCACGGGCTGTTCCATCTTCCCATAATCTCCTCCCAACTCAGGCGAGGCGGGGGGGGGCGCGGGTGCAGGGTGCGGTGCGGTGTGAGTGTGTGCGTGTCATGTGGCTACACCTAGGCTACAGCAAGTGTCCATCCGTCTGTATTATTATTAACAACGAAGGCGCTCAAAAAGAATTTAATTTTGCCACCACGAGAGCCGCCTAAGGATTCCTGCGAGGTGTGTGTGTGGGGGGGGGGGGGGGGGGAAGGGGGGGCACTTAGCTCCGTCCACTCGACCGCCCTCGCCATACCTCGCCGCTTTCTAAAAAGGCACTGGCGCGTAATAAAATAAATCCCCGTTGTATGTATGTATGTATGTAGGAAGGGGAAAAACAGTCAGGCGTTGTTCCTCCCCACACCTAAAATGATTCTGTGTGAGCTCTGTGTCTTGATTTATATACCTACACACCTAACAGCCTGCGCTCGGCACCGGGCACCGCCTCGGTATCTGCCACGCCACGGCGGTGTGGAGAACGACAGACAAGCGCTGCATCTGCAGCCCGTGCCAGTTCTTGGTGGTCCATGTGACCTCATCGAGGTGCTGAGCGTGCGAAAGTTTGTTACTCAGCTGGTCCGCCGCCTGCCGAAGAATTCTGCGGACGCCGTCCCCGAAGCCGCCGAACGTCTCGAAGTCGAGCAAACGCAGGTCGCAATTCTTCTCCCGCGCGAACCGGTACTCGCCCTTCTCGTAGCGGGCCGTCACAGGTGCCCCCGCCTCCGCCTCCCCCTCACTCTCCCCCTCCTCCTCTTCCGCCGCCGCCGCCTCCGCCTCTGCATCCTCCGCCTCCCTCCCCCCCTCCCCCCCCCCTCCCGGCCGCGGCCATGCAGCATGCCCTAACACTAAGTCGAGCAGCGCCCGCTCGGTGTTGCCGAAGGCGACAAAAGCCCCCTTCCAGCCGAGCCGATCGCCACCCTTGCACGCAAGCGAGCTCGTCAGTTTCAAGTCGCCAACGAGGCGCACATGCCCTTTGCCGATGTTCGCCGCCGCCACGTCAGGTTGTTTTGGGTTACTGTAACTGAGGTGTGCAGTCGGCTCCATCTCGATGAGCATGCCCCACGCCGAGCGAAGGGTCTTGACGAGTCGTTTGAGCAGGTATTTGTGTCGTGTCGCGTGCTTCGCACGCGGGTTGACCATTGCGGCATCGCCGAGTTCTTCGTGCGGCTTGCCGTTTGGCGCCTTCTTGCCCGCCTCCACCGCCTGGCAGGCAACATCGAGCGGGAGGCCGAGGCGGCGCTGAACTGTCATGCGCATCGCCCACGTCTCCATCTTCATATCATCCCGCATGGGGATCGCATTCAGGAAGGCGCCAGCCCCCTCCTGGCTGACTGCGACGAACCGAATCGCCTCGCGCCAGCACTTGTGGTTCTTGCACCTGCCAGTCTTGTAGCGGCCGCCCTGCCGGGATGCCTCGCTGACGAAGGCGTCGGCGAGGGCGAGCCAGTTGCGATGGTGTACGCCGACGGTGTACCGCCGCTGCGCCTGCTGTAAGAACTCAAACAAAAGAAAAAAAGCGAGTTCGGGCTGCTATCACCGAAATCGCGCAATCTGAGGCATCATCTCTGCCCTTAGCCTCTCTCTCGCCCCGCGTGCTCGGCACGGCACGGCACGGCAGCGCAGCGGCAAGCAAGCGGAGAGCACCCTCGTGCGCCCAATCTCGGCGCCCATCCAAATTTCGCTGATCCGCGCCGCCACCCACCGCCGCCCTTGTAGGGAACGCCTCGATGATTGACTCGCCCGTCTTACCCGCCCTCGGTGGTTTCGCCGCTCTCGCCGTGCTGGCCTTTCTGCAGCGCAAGATTTCAAAAGGCGGGACGCCGACCGAGCCAGTCTCCCCTCCGCCCTCCCCTCCGGAGCCCGGACCGTCATACTCGTCGCCGCCGGACGACCCGTCAGACCCAGAGAAGTATGGTGGAGGCCCGCCGCCGTCAGACCCACCAAATTCGTACCACGCTAAACCGCCCTGGCCGACACGCCGCGCCCTCTGCTGGGCGATAGCGTTGTTCACTTTGCTGCTGGTGGTGGCAATCACGATTGCTGCAGTCTGTGGGGCTGGAGTGTGCACCGCCGCGCCGCCGTCGCCTCCGCCGCCGCCTCCTCCGACCTGCCCGAACGACCCAACGTGCAGTGCCAATACCTGCAACGGCAAGCTGTTCAATGAAGGCTTGTGCTGCTGGGACAACACGGCAATGGAGTGCACCGATGACGTCTGCACCACTGATGGGAGCAGCGATGAAGTTCTCTCTCTTTGCCTCATTGGAACGCCTCTGGCGACTTGCTTTGACGGAATCGCGAACTGGGTCGAGACGGACACGGATTGCGGAGGCGGGTGTACGCCGTGCGAGAACCACAAGAGGTGCGCCGTCAACGAGGATTGCGACTCCGCGTTCTGTAAGATCTGGGTGTCGCCGCCGTCGCCGCCGCCGCCGCCGCCGCGTGGGAGACTGCTCGAGTACTCACAAGAATGGCTGAACAAGTGGAACGGCACCAACAAGTACGACAGCCCCCCGGGAATTTGCCAGAACAAAGATTTTCTTGAGCCCGATAAGCCTGACGAGGACTGGGACAAAGACAACAAGGGCCTCCTAGTCTCGAGCCTCCCACCAACTTGGAGCTACAGCGAGCACGGATTCAGCTGTGTGTCTCAGCGCGGAGAGTGGCTCTGGTGGCAAGGCGACGAAGAGATTCCGGATGCCGACTGGCTCGGCTGCCAGATCCTCGGGTCGGCCTCCATTTTTGCGCGTCCACTTGCAAATGGCGTGCTCCCGTCGGACCCGTCGAGGCTGAAGGTTGCGCCGATCGATCCCATTCCGGTGCGGCTGCGCCGCTCCCTGCGCAGCTCCCTGCGCCCCTCCACACCGCCAGGTCTCACCCGTTCTTCTCGCCTTCTTCCCTCTTCAGGATGAGAAGAAGGCGCAGATGGTGAAAGATGGGTGCTATCGCCTCAACAGATACCCGATCGGGACGACAGAGGAGTCGGTGAGGACGTGGAGTACGACGTCTGAGTACTCGTCGGCGGTTTCGCAGTCGTTCTCCACGGAGAACTCGGTCTCGGGCGGCTTTGGGCCGGTCAGCGCCTCGGCGGGGGTGGCGGTGGGGAAAAGCTCGTCCAACTCGGCTCGCCGTGAGACCAACAACGTGAGACCAACATACACACACACACACACACACACACACACACACACACACACACACACACACACACACACACACACACACACACACACACACACACACACACACGCTGTCGCAGGTGGGAGCCGTGGTTGAACGGGTCGTCAACGCGCTCGGTGCGGCGCTCGCCAACGTCGGCTGCTCCTTGTCGCTAGTGCTCGTCAACAAGGCTGTGGAAGATATAGCCCCGGCCTGACCTATCCCGCTCCCACCTCCGCCGTCATCCACCGTCCTCCGCCGCCAGCCGCGACGCCGTGGCGCACCTCCGACCCCGCAGGCAGTCTTCTCGGTTGGCGGTTTAATCTTCTGTTCTGCATGTGGATTCCTCTTCTACATACATAATTAGTGCGGCCTTTTTGCTTTTTTGTGTGCGCGCGTAAGTTTTTGCGCTATATGGCTGACCCGTACGAGACGCGGCTCGCGCCCATTGCTCACCGCCAGCGCAGTTTCCACGGCCTACCCACCCGCGACGGCGCGGTCGGTGCCGACGGGACGGCGGCTGACTGTCCGGTCGCGAGCAAGCGCCGATGCAGTGCGGCTCGCACCGCTTGGCCGAGCGGTGGAGGGCTTGCCGCGTTGGGCCTCGCCCCGCCGCCGCCGTCGCCCCTGGCGTGCATCCGCAGCCCCAGCCGGGGCCTCGACGTGCGCCGGCGGCACACGCGAGCCTCGGCCTCGCGAGCCTCGGCCGCCGCCGCCGCCTGGCGAAGCTCCCTGAGGCCAAGCGTGGCCGTGGCGCCCGGCCCGGCGAGCAGCGCCGTCCCACTCGTATCGGCCGTAACCTCGGCTGCGGTGACCGCGGAGCCCTCGCGCGCGCGCCGCAGGGCGTCGGGTATGGCTGCCTTGTGCGGCGGCGTCGACTCGCCCTCGCGCATCGCCGTTTCGTGGTCGGACAGGGTGACGAGGAACTTGCGGGCCCAAGGGGTGGCAGCGATCTGGCCGACAAACGTCTTGCACGCGGGACGCGCCGCCACCAGCGCGTCGATCTGCCCAAAGAGGTCGTCGTCCGGGTCGTCTGGCGACAGCTCGCCCGGCCCGGCCACCTGACCGGCTGCAGCTCGCGCCCTCGAAATCCGCGCCGCGGCGAGATGCTGATCGCCTTCGTGCGGGGTGCCGTCGGCCCAACCCGCGGCGCCGCGCAACAGCGTCGAGAGGAGCCCGCGAGAGGGCGCGGCCGGCCGCCCCTCGCCGCCGTCTGGCGGTCGCACGCAAGCGTGGTCCGCGCGCATGGCATACAGGCGTTCGCCAGACAGCGCAGAGGCTAGGCGACCGGGGAAGGACTAGCTCAAGGGCAACACAGCGTCACCAGCCGTTGGCGCGCAGAACAAGTCTGCGGCCCCCGGTTGGGACGAGTGCGCGACGCGGATGAACCGCTCAATATGGCCGGCAGCTCGCGCTGCGCCGGCGGGGTTGGTTGGGGAGGACCGGCACGGGGAAGGCCGGCCTCCCCGGAGGGGTCGCCCCCTGGAGGGCAGCTGGAGGGGCCCCAAAGGGCCCCCCGGGGGGGCGGGGGCCCCCGCCCCGAGGGGCGGGGGCAGGTTCGTCGCCTAGCGCGAGGGAGTCAACCCTTGTTGCCAAGTCGGCGAGCGTGTTGTGTATCGAGAGAGAGACCATAGCAGATGCGAGAGCGGCGTCGTCCGGGGAGAGTGGTGGTGGGGGAGGGTCAACATCGCGAGGGCAAGTACGCATCGCGCTCCCCGATTGTCTCCGATCTCCCTCGCCTGCTCGCTCGGCACATACTCGGACCATATCGTTCGAACTCGGGGGGAACGGCGAGGGTTAGCGACGGGTGCGGCTTCAGGGTCGGTGGCGGGCGAGGGGTGGCTGTCAGGGCTGGCTGGGGCTGTAGCCGTTGGTGTAGCAGGTCCACAGTTGGCGTCGCTATCATCTTCCCTCTCCGAGTCCTGGGCGCTGCCTGTTGCTCCGTGTCCACTGGTACTGCTGTCGCTTCCCTCCGCGTTGCTTTCATCGTCGGGAGTGTCCGTCGGGATGGTGTCGTCCGCCCACTCGGCAGCGTTTGAGCCTCTGTCACCCTGCCTGCGCCGAGCTGCTAGCTCGTCGACGTAGTCGTTCCATTTGTTGCCGCTGTGACCCGCCACATGCCTCCACGTCACGGTGTGTTTGGCGCGAAGGCGTCGCCAGAGGGAACGATGGCGCTCCGCTAGCTGTCTGTTCGTTTTGGGGGTCACCCGCCCCATCATGCATGCCGCCGCGCGTACTCGCTATCGGTCCGCACTACTCCGCGCGTGAGGCTCGTTGTGCGAGTATATGGGACACGATGTCTCAAATATGAGAGGTTTTGACTCCTACCGGCTCCTGACGCTATCCCTGGCAGCTCTAATGACCAGGATCAGTAGTGCTATGATAGAGGGTGCCCATACTAGCGCAGGAGCTGCCACACTCGCCCGGACCGGCTCCCTCTGGGGCCGGTTCCGCAGCCCGTGAGAGCCGACAGCGGGGCCGTGCCGCGGGTGCCTACTGCCGAGTGCCACAAACACTGCGCCGTCCCGCCATCACCTACAGGCTGTCTTGTGTGATGGTTGGGATGTCCAAACGCCACCATCTTGGCTCTTGCGACCTCAAACCCGCGAGCTGTATGGGTGGTCCTGACGTCGACAGACGCCCGATGACCACGGTGAAGCTGAGCCGTAACGAGTCGACAAGTCTCGTCTGAGCCCGTGGCGGTCGCCGGCTGAGTCGCTGTGCACGGGCCGGTACCTCAGGCGTCACCTCCGCAGCCTCAGGTCTCACACTCCATCACCTCCGCCGGGACGCCGTCGGTGGCACGCTCGGCGGCGACTTTGTTGCAGCCCCACAGCGAGCGCGGCGTCGAGCCCATTCGGTCTGGTCGGTTCGCCGCACTCACTGGGTGCCAGGGAGTGCGGCCGACACACGAGCGGTGCTTCCTGGCAGCGCGCGCCAGCTGTGGGGCTGCAACAAACTCGAGACACGCTTTTTGGGACATTTTCGACGCTTTTGTCCCATATACTCGCACAACATGCCGTGAGCCCGCTCGTTGCGGTGACGAGGATAGGAGAGCCCGACAGTCTCAGTCACGATAAAGCCGGATGCGAGACTCCGTGTCTTGCTCTTGGCGTTATGCTGCAGTGACCGGGCGTTGCTTCTTGTGATCAGAACACTTGTACCCCGGACGGACGGACACGAGCACACGAGTCTAAGAGCTGAACGCTGCTGAGACCTCATTGGCCACCGACGAAATATCATACCGTAGCTCCGTACAGTCAAGGCCCCGCTAAGACGGCGCACGCTGACGCTCGCACCATCCCGGCCAAGGCCAGGCTACCGGGCCGCTCGTACCTCGGAGACGGAGTGAAGGCTCCGGCGTGCCGTACTCGACCGCGTCGCCCTTCCGCAGCTCGAATTGAAGGAGCGCCGGCTGGCCACCACACCGGAGCCCGTGGTCCCTCACGACGCCCGAGCAGTTGATGTTGTTTGAGCACGCCGCCCACGCCGCGTGCAGCGTCGGGAAGCGGCTTGAAGCGCATCGGCCGCTTACGGTGTGGTCGTCCGTGAGCAGGTCTGGCAGGTTCGTGCCGCGCATCTCAAAGGCGGTCGGGTCGGTGAGGCAGCGCCGGCGAAAGAGCGCAACGAATCCCGGCCGGAGCGTCCTCTGCTGCAGCTGCTTCCGCCGCGCCTGCCAGGCGGCACTGGGGCACGCCGCTCGCATCGCGCTGCTGTCGGCGAGTATGGAGACGAAGGCGCGTGCGGCCGGTCGCGTGCGCCGCGCGGGCGGCGGCCGGTCCGATGGTGCGGCGTGGCAGTGGTTGCACAGCATGTTGAGCAGCACGATCGTGCTCATGTGCGAGGCGCCGCCCTGCCACTGCCACCGGAAGGGCGACGCGCCGTGCGGGTCGCTCACGCGCGCGGAGAAAGTGTAGTGCAGCCCGTCCCAGCTGCCGTACCACATCGCGTCCGTGATTGCGTGCGAGTCGAGGATGGCGAATCCGAGCTCGGACGCCCTCCGCTTCAGCTGCGCCACGGCCGCGCCCATCGTGCGCCGCGTCAGCCCGCCGTTGCTCGCGCCCGCCCAGAGGCGCGGGTCGAGCATCTGCGTGTGCTGCACGGCCGAGTTGGTGCGGAAGATGCAGAGAATCTGCCGGGCGTCGCACGCCGCGCGGAGCGCGCGCAGCTCTCTTGTGACGACCTTGACGACGCACTCGATCGACCAGCCGTGCGCCAGCGCCGTCACCAGCGCGGGCGAGTATACGTAAGCGTCCACGTCGAGGTTGGGCGGAGGGCCGGCCGACTGCGGCCCCGACTGCTGCCAGACGAGCGTGATCGGCCCGACCTTCACCTGAGGCAGCTGGCCCACCGCTTGCTTCAGCGTCCGCCCGTCGACATAGACGCGGCGGCGGCCCGAGAGGAGCTGGTGCAAGTTGGTGAGCATCTCGCGCCCGATGCTGTCGCCGCCAAAGCCGAGCACCGAGTAGCCGCAGCGCGCGAGGCTCGCGGCCGCCTGCCTAGCGCTGAAGTGGCGGTAGTGGCAGCCGTGCGGCAGGTAATAGTAGCCGCGCAGGTAGTGCATCTCGTCGTTCAGCACGCGCAGCATCCGCCGCCCCTCCAACGCGTGCGCCTCCTGCGACTCGCGCGGCGCGCAACGCGCGCCGCTGCTGTGGTTCGCCCGCCGCTCCCGCGGCAGGCAGCCGCCGCCCGCCAGCCGCACCCAGCGGCCAGGCGCCGCGCCACTGCGCACGCACAGCGACGTGTTCACCGCCTGCCGAAGGATGGAGCTGCCGTTCTGGCCGAGCGGCGTCCTCGCGCCGTCGTACGCCTCCGCCGTCGGCCGCGCGCCTCGAGATGCGATCGAGCTCGTTGACGTGGATGATCGCGTCGAGGCATACGGCAGCACCTCGGCGCGCCCTCGATATAGCAGGTGATTGATGCTCTCGCCGACGACGGACGAGAGCGTCAGCTCGACGAGGTACGCGCCCGCCTCGGTCGCGACGTACGAGAAGCTTGCTCTCAGCCGCCGGCCGCCGCGTGCGCCGCCGTGCAGCAGCTCGAGGCGCAGCGGCTCGGCGGCGATCAGGCTCGGGCCGACGAGCCTCGCTGCGAGGGTTGTGGTCTCCTCGAGCCCCTTCGCCGGCCGCTCCAAGTCGATCTGCACACTGAATCTCGCCCTCTGCCCCGCGAGGGCGACGCGCAAGCCGCGGCCCATTGCACGAGCCGTCAGCCGGTTGCCCTGCACCGTCAGGTTGGAGCCCATGCTCAGCGGGTTGCAGCGACCCGAGGCCATCTCCCTGTAGAAGGAGAGCGAGCTGCTATTGAAGAAGGGCCACTGCACCGCCGTCGACTGCTGAAGCATTTCGATCGGCACGGTCTGGAAGTGGCAGGCCCTCGGCGGCATGTCGGCCAGGTTGCTCGGCGCCGCCGGCAGCTCGGCTGCGCGCTGCAAGATGAACTCGCCAGAGTCGAGCGCCAGACGCACGCCGCCGTGCAGCGCGTGCTGTTCGCCGTTGCGCGGCATAGCGGTGGAGTGCCATTGTGCGGCGGCGGCGGCAGCGGCAGTAGTGGCACGCTTGCCCACCTGCTCAAAGTCTCTCGCGCCGTGCGAGTGTGAGACCATGAGCATCGAGGAGCGGCTCATTCGGCGGCCAATCTCGTCCTCTTCGATCAAAATGGGCGTTAGGGGCTAAACTTCGATGTACGCGGTAAAACGCGAGACGCTCATTCAAGAGCGACCCGAGGGCGGACAACACTGCCAGGACATCGAGATATTCACACGCAGCTTATACCAGCGCCAGGTGAGCCGCCTGGTCACGCCGTCGTCACACAAAGGCGTGAATATAGTGGCGTCCTACGTCAATCGAGCATACGGGCACCTCCGCATGGGGCGACGGCTCTTCCACTCCTCGTGCGATTTTCTCAATCTCCCCGAGACGGTGCCCGCCTACTGGCGCATCGCACTCAAGACGCATGGCACTCTGAGAGGACTGGTACCGTACGATGGTGAGGACGCCGCACAGAAAGACCACACACCTGAAGTCACGTACCGACAGGCGAGGGCGGGCGTACCGAGGACAGTGCGAGTGGGGGGGCTTTGGTCGATCGGACGCGTGTTAATGGAGCCGCTATTCTACAACCCACACCTGTCGGGCTGGTGGGGCGCAGCGGTACTCGACAGCCCGGACTGGGAGCGACTGGCCAGAGACAAGAAACCGAAACCCAAACTCTGCCGGTGGACCAATGAAAGAGAGGGAGACGCACGGGAGGTCTACGAGCGATCGGTGCGATTCGCAGAAGTCGGGGTAACACAGGAGTACAAGGTGCGATGGCGAGACGCATCCGAGGAGGAGGATGAGTGGCTAGCGCAGGAGGCAGTCGCTGGCCCACTCCTAGACGCCTTTACCGCCGCAGTGGGCCCCTCCGACGGCAGCGACGTAGGTGGGGACGGCACCGAGAGAGAGAGAGAATTCTTGATACGAAACCACGACGACACACACCAGTCGACTCGCATCGGTTGCCTCCATGAACGGCGGAGCTATTCTCGCGCCCACACCACACCTGGCTCCAACGTGGACACGCCCATAGCTGGGGACACTACTAGGTCACGCATGGCATCACAGAAGTTTTATCTCTGGGCCCCGAAAGGCATCTCTAGCAGTGTCGTTACACATGCCCCCTCCCCTCCTGGGCGCATGCGCCTCACGTCTCTCTCTCTCTCTCTCTCTCTCTCTCCCCTCCACCATGGCCTTGGGGGCACTTCTTTCTCCATCCGCCTCGCCCTGCCTTTTCGCATCGTGCCGTTCGCCCTCCATTCGGTGACCTCCATGGCTGTCCGCCCCTTTTTGGGTGGCGCTCTCGATACGGTTGCGTCAACATCGACGTCGCTGTCGCCCTCCCCGTCCCCGCCGGCGTCCGTGCCTCGGTTCGCGTCATCGGTAGCGTCTCCGTTGTTCCCTCGTGCCCCGCCGTCGCCCTCTCTGCTCGGGCCGTTAGCGATTTCGCTCCTCCTGCGTGTCGCCCCTCCGTCCTCTCCCCTTTCTTCGTCGTCATCGTCGCTGTCGCGAAAGCCCTCCGGTCCCTCGATTCCCTCGCCTATCCCCTCCGCTGCGTCGTCCCAGTTTATATCCTCATCCTCTGCGCACGTCGCGTTGGCTTCCTCTCTCCCCCTTTCCTCCCTGCCCCTCTCGCTGTCTGGTGTTAATGGACCCCCTTCCTCTCCCTCGCCACCGTCACCGTCTCCATCCCCGTCGCTACCGCCCTCCATGCCCGCCGCCCTTTGTTTCACACTCGTCTCTGCCATGTCCGCCGTCGCCGCCGTCCTGTCTGCTGCGCTCTGTGCTCCGTGGTACAGTCGCTTATTGTTGCTCAGGATTAGCTCACGCACCAGGACAGCCTCCTGCTCGTTATTTTGGCTTGCCGATATGCATCCAAAGTTCCACGCTAGCTCCTCCTTCGTCACGTCTATCTTTTTGCAGTATCTCGCGAATGCCGTCCGCGCTTGCTGGGGTGTTATTGCGTTCGGATCCGCCCTGGTCCCCGCCCTGTATCCCATCTCCTTGCGGTGGCTCCTGTATGAGTCCCCATATGACCATGTGATTTCTTGGCCTTCCGTGACTCCCCTCTCTGCAAACAGGACCATCACCTGCGCAGCTGCCTTGCCTAATTGTATCTCCTCGTAGCGTACGAAGTGCGTCGCCCTCGTGCCTCGTTTCGGCTCATTCGATGCTGCAGGCCAGTCGAAGTTACACCGCGCCGCGACGCTGTCAAAGTCGTCCCCGCTCTCGTCGTCACTTCCATCCAGCTGCGTCCCCCCTGCTGCCGTGTGTCGTGATAGTTCGTCTCGTGGTACTGTCTCTGGTGGCTGCGCCGTTCCTGTCCGGAAGATCTCCCCAGTGTAGATGCTACACACCTCAAATTTCTCTAGCCTCCTCGAAAACAAGCGAAGTCACACACAACATGACGCCAAACACACGATTGCACGCACCGCACCGCACCCCGCACCCCGCGCCCGCCGCCCCCCCGGCCCCCGCCCCGCCCAGGTGGGAAGGATACGAGGAGATGGAACAGCCCGAGGGAGAAGCGAACGAAAATACGTATGGGAGGTTGAAGTCGTGCACCACGCTGCCCGGCGTTTCTCACTTTCCGGGACAGCCCCGCCCTTGTGAGGCAGGAAAGTGGTGGCTACCCCGGACACACACACACCGCCGCCGGAGAAGTGATGGGACACGCAGAAAGACAGAATCAAGACTTGCGCCCCCGCCTCGGCCCCGCCACCACCGGCACCTTCCCCTTTCTGCTGCCATGCTCCGCCGCAAACGACGCCACAGACGTGTCCGACTTGGCGGCTTGCAGCTGGCGCACCGCGTCGGTCGCGCTCGCGAGTACCATCAGCTTGGGGGCGGCCGCGCCGGAGAGCGCCAGCCCCACTGTGGCGTCGGGCGCCAAAGCCTTGCCCTTGTGCAGCAGCTTCAGACCGTAGCGCTCAGGCGGCAAGTCGAACGCGCGGGCAGTCTGCTCGAACAGACCGGAGACGCGTCCACCGGGCAGCACGCTCACGTGCACCGTCGCACCTCGGTACGAGAGTGCGACACTCGTCGCCGCCTCCTCCCCCTCCGCCGCCGCAACCTCGGACGGTGGGGCGTCACTCTCACGCGCCGCCGGCCCGCCGCCGCACTCTGTCGCGACCGCCATGCCAGCAGTGTCCTCCCGAGGCGTAGAGGCGGCGTTGGCTGCGGGGGCGGCGACAGCAAACTGCCAGTCTTCCCCGAGGAGGAAGCGCCGCTGCGCCTCGGAGAGGCCTACAGGACACGCCCATGAACGGATCTCGCCTACATCTCGGAGAGGTCTCAGCCAACCTCCGCGCGACCTCCGAGCCGTAGCGACGCCTCTGCCGCCCGCCGACGCCGGGCGCGCAACGCGACTCGCCTCGGGCAAGTGAGCGCCGCCAGCTGCGCCTGCGCCTCCACCACCGCCTCGCCCTCGCAGCCCGCATCCGCAGCAGCCCCGAGCGCCGCCGAGAGCGCCGCCACCGCCTCCTCCTCGACCGCCGCTCCGTCGCCTCGTGCCGCGGCCGCGGCCGCTGCCTCGGCCGCCTCGGCCGCCTCGGCCGCCGCACACCGCACAGCTATCTCCGCCGCCTCCCTCGCGCCCTGCTCCCCCTTCCTCCTCGCCCTCCGCGCCCTCTCCGCCGCCCGCCTCTGATCCCTTGCCCGCCGCCGGTGTCGCTCCCGCCTCGCCTCCTCCTCCGCCTGTGCAGGAAGAGCCCGAGAGGGGCTCAGACAAGGCCACGTGCGCCGCCTCCCGCCTCTCCTCCTCCGCCGCCTCGGTCAGGCCGGACGGCACGTGCGCCCGCTCCCAGTTCCACGCGCCCGGCGAGGCGCCGCAGAAGCGGCGAAAAGCGTCTCGCGTGGCGCCATCGGCCGACACATCGTACGGCACCTTGAAGCCAAAGGCGATGTGTCGCAGCGTCGGGTCTTCGCCTCCCGCCAGGAGCTCCCCGACCTTGGCGGCGTCTCCGGCGGCGGCGGCATCGTGTAGCCTGCGATGAGAGAGAGAGGGGAGCGCGGCGGTGACGCACGTGATGCGGCTACCACCCCGACAGGGCCACGCATCCGAGACTACTACGCCGCACGAGTCTTCAAGAGGCTTCAAGAGGCATCACATGGGCTTCCAGCGTCGGACCTTCAAGACATGCGCTTTTGGCCGGTGGCCTCTTCGGACACGTCAGGGATACGAGTGTGCAGCATCTAGGTCGCGGATCCCCCGTGGCAGCGCGTGCGCCGCGGCCTCGAGCGCCGCCGCCGCGGCCGCCGCCTCCGCCTCTGCCGCCGCTCGCAGCCCCTCCGCCGCCTCCTCCGCGGCTGCCGCTGCCTCCGCCCACCGTTCCGCCTCGGCGTCGGGCGCCGCTGCGGCGGCGGCGATCGCAGCGTTGGCGAGCACCTCCTCCGACGCGTCCGGCGCGATGTAGTCGGCGCACGCCAGCCTGAGCGAGGAGGGCGCGGAGGTTGAGGGCGCGGGGAGTGGCGCGGCGCGGTGCGGAGGGGAGGGGTGCGGGCGAGGCGGCGCGGAGAGGCGCGCGCCGTTCCACCACGCGCTTCGCCTCGTCGAGGGTCGGCCGCCTCATCGCAAAGGGACATGCACATGTACATGTGCATGTGCATGCGCATGTGCGTGTGCATGCGCATGTGCGTGTGCGTGTGCGTGTGCGTGTGCGTGTGCGTGTGCGTGTGCGTGTGCGTGTGCGCGTGTGCGTGTGCGTGTGCATGTGCATGCACATGCTGTTGTCATGGACGGGCGGTGGACATGCATGTGCATGCGCATGCGCATGCGCATGTGCATGTGCATGGTGCGTGCGCATGTGCATGTGCATGTGCATGTGCCTGTGCCTGTGCATGTGCGTGTGCGTGTGCGTGTGCGTGTACGTGTGCGTGTGCATGTCCAGGACAAGTCCGCCTCGCCTCGTCGCGAAGGGGATGCGGCGCACGCGGCGGTCGGCCTTGTCCAGCGGCGCGGGCGAGGCGTGCAGCACGGCGGCGTTGGCCGGGCCGGGCGCGTGCGTGAGGATGACGGTGCAGCGGCGGAGGAGCGGCGCCCACGCGAACAGCAACTCCCTCGCCTCCCTCGCCAGCTCCGCCTCGTGGTGGCGCCGGAGGGAGGAGCCGGCCGACGAGATGTGCTTGGCGCCGTCGGCGCTGCTCTGCCGGCCGCCCTGCCCGCGCCGTGTCACGTAGCGGTGGATCGTCTTGTGCGCCACGAGGCGCGCCGTCGCTCGGCGGGCGGCGCAGCCCGCGCCGCCGCCGCCGCAACGCCTCAGCTCGAAGACGGCGGCGGCAAAGCGACCGCCGCTGCAGAGGAGCACCGCCCACACCGGCGAGGCGAGGCGCGCAGAGGCCAGCTGGCGGAGGAGGAGGGCCGGCTCCTGGCAGGCGCCGCAGAGGACGGCGCGGTGCACGACGTAGTGGCCGCCCAGCGAGTCGCGGAAGGCGAGCAGCGGCCCTCGGGCGGAAGAGGCCTCCGCCGGCTCCTCCTCCCCCGCCGCCCCTTCCTCCCCCGCCGCCTCCTCCTCCTCCTCCTCCGACGCCTGCTCCTCCTCATCCTGCAGCGCGGTTGCACGCGAGGCACCCGGCTCAGCGCTGCCGCCACCGTTGTCACCCTCGTCGCCGCCGCCACCGGCCGTGCATGGCACGCCGACAGCCGCCGCCACCATCGCCGCCAAAGCTTCGCCCCGCAGCGCCGCAGTGAACGCCTCAGACACCTGTCGCGGCGCGCGGGTGGGCGTGCGGCGGCGAGACGGGCAGCGGCGAGGCGGGCGGGGGGGTGCCGCGGGTTGCGCCTTCAGAGTCGCAAGAACCTCCTCTGGCAGGGAGAGAAGGCCGAGGCGGCGGGAGCCCTCGCGCCACTGCCTCGCCGCCACGCGCCTCTCGACCCTGGAGGAGGAGGAGGAGGAGGAGGAGGCACCCGACAGCCGCGACGTGGAGTGCGCCGCCGCCGCCGCCGCCACAGCCACAGCCACAGCGGGCACAGCCGGCGGAAGGGGCGGAGGAGGCGCATTGCCTACGTACGTAGCTTCCTGTCGGTCGATTGTACGTAAGCCGATACATTTTCCTAATCATGTTACGTGGGGGGGGCATGCCTTGTGCTTGGGGCGGCACCAGAGGTCGGTGGGTCGGCGGCAGCTCCCTGCCAGCCGCCTCGAGCCAGCTGGACGAGGTTTGGCCGGAGGAGATTTGGCTCGAGGCGGGCTCCTTCTCCTCGCTCGGGGCCGGCCGGCAGGGGTGAGTCGGAAGGGGCGGGAAGGAGGCGTCCTCGTCGTCGGAAGGAGAGGCGCTGCCGTCTTCCCCCATGGCCGCCACCGCGTGGCTCGGCGCGTCGTCGTCGTCCAGCACCGCGAGGCCGCCCTCCCAGCGCGGGACCGGCTCGGGCTGGCGCGAGCCTGGGCCGGCGCCTTCGCCCCGAAAGAGCGCCTGCAGCACCAGCGCCGCCTCCGCGCGGAGCTGCGTGATCGCGGGCGACCGGATGATCCTCGTGCCGGCTGCGCAGTGCACGCAGACGTGCTCCACCTGGCAAAGGGCGGCGGAGGCGAGGGTGGTGAGCGTGGCGACGAGGACAGCGGTGGCGCGCGGTTGCGAGGGCGAGGGTGGCGGCTGACCTGCGCAGCGTCCAGTCCGTGCTCGAGCAAATACCGATCGAGCGCCGCGCACTCCTCCCTCGTGATTTGCCGCCGCGAGACAGGGTGGGTGAACTGGCCCGTGCTGACAAGGTAGAGCGCGAGGATGTGCCCGTCAAAGTAGTCGTTGTCCGATCGCTGCGTCAGGTCGGCGGAGAGGACAAAGGGCGGGTACGGGAGGTCGCAGAGAGGGTCGAGTGAGATCGGGTCGGCGGACAGCAGCGAGTGCCACCACTGCATCAGCGCGTACAAGTCCGCCGCAAGTCCAGCAGGAAACGCTGTGTGCAATGCCGCAGCGACTCCCAGCTTTAGACTCTTTCTGCGCCAACGGCTGGTGTATGCCAGCATGAGGGGAAGATTGGGAGATCGACAGCGCATGCTCCTCGCTTGTTGCGCAGCACCCGCGGCGCGCGCGCCCCGCGGTGTTGACCAACAACCGCGCAACTGGGAAAATGGGCAAAAACGGGGTGATTTCGGTCATCCGTCAAAATATCTGAAGATCTGTCCGGGGGATTCTCCCCAAACCTTGCTCAGCTGATCCAGCCTGGGTCGTAGGCCAGCCCTGGCCAAAGAAACCAGCACCTCATCGGGCTTCCCTGAGCGTCACAGCTCGGTGATCGCGCCGGCCGGACACCACTGTGACGTCCGTTCCGGGCGTTTGAACGCGACCTTCGGGGGCAAAGACATGGGCTCTATGGCTCAACCTGGACTCCTCTTGGTCCCATCTGATGCCCTAGGCCACACCTGGGCCTTACCTGGGGTCCTAGGGGCCGGGCAGGGTTTGCCGACCTCGGCTGTGAGGACCTCTGTTCTTGTGAGGACCTCTGCTGTGAGGACCTCTACTGTTGAGGACCTCTCATTCTCTCGCTGGAGTACGCCTCGGCGCGTGATCCCTGACCCCTGTGCCGCTGCGCTGCATGTATCTCGGGCTTTTGCTTTCCACCATCTCGCTGCCTGCGTCTCACGCAGTCGCGCTGCCTCCCTCCAGCCCGGGCGGGGAGCGTGCCGCTGGCGATCAGAGGAAGCTCAATCGAGAAGGGTGAAAGCAGGGTGAAAGTCAGTGTAAGGTGGTGCTTGTCAAGCCCGACCACGATCCTTCCCTCTTTTCGCGTTTGTTTTCTTTTTCTCGCGATGCCTGCCGCCATTCATTAGGCTCCGTCGGGCTCGGGGTGCATGTACATGTTGATGCAGAGGTCGAACCTCACACGAAGCTAGACACGAAGGAGAAGCCCATCGGCAGCTGTTCGCGGAGCATGGCACACCCCAGAAGAAAACCGTCGAGCAAAGAAAGAAAAATCTTGCGCAAAAAATAAATAAAACACGTGTGCGAAGATCGCTTGCGCACTAAGGAAACAAAGTTCATACGTTTGGAGGCACACTTAACGCTTGTTGGAGGTGCATCGGACGCAAACTTCTTATTTTCTCAGCCAACGCCTCGTTACAGTAAAGAGAATGCAAGTGGCTACGGTGCGCTCGTGTCGAGGTTGGCAGTGCGACCGAGCATGCGTGAGAAAGTGTGTCCCTCCAATGGCGGTGCTCGGACCTCGGCTGCTGTGACAGAGGACCTCTGCTCTTGTGAGGACCTCTGCTGTGAGGACCTCTGCTGAGTTGAGGACCTCTCATTCTCTCGCTGAACGGCGGAGCTATTCTCGCGTCCACACCACACCTGGCTCCAACATGGACACGCCCATAGCTGGGGACACTACTAGGTCACGCATGGCATCAGAAGTTTTATCTCTGGGCCCCGAAAGGCACACACAAAGACTCACCCCTACCCCCAAACAGCCGGAACCCAGCGCTTTAGCCACGTATCCACGCATTCCTCTTCACCCGTTCCCTTCCAGCATGTCCTTCGACCGCGCCTTTGACGTCAGCGAAGGCATCGAAGTGCGCTCCGCCGGCGCCGGCCGCGGCGAGGGCCTTTTTGCGACGCGGCCGCTGCCACGCGGCACGGTGCTCTTCCGAGAGCGCCCACTCGTCGCGATGGCTGAGCCGGGCCGTGCCCGCGTCGAGACGTGCGAGCGGTGCTGCGCCTTCCTCGGCCCGCTCGAGCGGCAGCTCTGCGCACTGCTCCCGCGCACCGATTTGCGGGCGCTCCGGTGAGCCTTCCGAGACGCCTCCGAGACACCTCCGAGAAAAACCCCGAGAAACCTCCCGAGACAGCCCCGGGACGTGTCTCTGAGCCGGTGCGGCCACGACACCTGCGCGACGAGTGGGTAGGCTGCCAGAGGTGGCCGGCGTGCGCCAGCTGCGCGAGCCGGTTCCCTGCCCGGGGGGCTGCGGGCTCAAGTTTTGCTCGAGGGCGTGCGCTGAGGCTGAGATGCAGGAGCAGCACGCTAGAAAGCTGAATACGGGTCTGTGTAGTCACACCGGCACTCGAGAGGAGACGCACTCAGCTGTGGTCCGCTGGACTCAGTAGGAGCACCACTGCCTGCTCTGCCCCGGCCCTGCTGCACAGCCCGGAAGCTGCAGCCGTCGCGGCGGCCTCGGCAAGCGCGGCGGCGGCGGCGGCGACAGCACCGCGGGCGGCGAGGCGACGGCCGAGAGATAGCCGAGATGTCGCCCAGAGTTCGTCAAGATTTGGTGCTCTCGCACGGCCGCACGCCCAACGGCGCCACCACGTCCACGACACGTCGACGACACGTCCGCGACCGCGACACGTCCGATAGGCGGAGCAGAGGCGCGACCAGGGCCAGCTCGAGTCAGCTCTCGCTTCAGTCGGGTTTAGCGGCGGCGGCGGCGGCGGCAGCAGCGGTGGTGGCAGCAGCACCGGTGGTGGTGATGGCGGCGGCGGCGGCGGCGACGGGGACGAGGATGGAGAGACACCCCTGCTGGACGAGGCGGTCTCTCCGCTCGAGCGTTTCCAACGGCACGCCCGTCGCCACCGACCAGAACTGCTAGACTCGTTCTGCTAGACTCGTGAGTCGACGCTGCACGGAGATCGAGCGGAGATCGAGCAGCCCGATACCCCTTCCCGCGCCGCCCCGCCTCCCCCCTCGCCTGCTCGGTTCTTTGCGGTTCTTTGCGGTTCGGTTTCCTACCTCTCGTATACCTCTGGTACCCCCGCCCTCTCTTAGGCACGCCCGCGCCACCAACCCAATCTTTCTGCTCGCCGCAAAGTCTGCCGCCGCTGTGCTCCGCCGCCTCGCGGCCGGCGACTCGCCCGACGCCGCCATGGCGCCGTACCCCGGCCCTGCGTGGGAGGACGCAGTACCGCCGCCGCCAGGCGCCGACGCGGCCGCGTTCCGCGAGACGCTTCGCAAGCTTCTCACGCAGTCGTGGCTGCTGCTCTGCGCCGTCCTCGCGCCGCACACGCCCGCCGCCTCCTCGTCCTCCTCCTCCGCCGCCGCCGCCGCCTCCTCGTGCATGTTTGCGAGCGCCGCGCTCTACTCTCGGATCGTCGGCTCGTTCGAGCGCCGCAATTGCTCATTGGCGGTGGCGTCGCCCGTCGAGGAGTACTTCCTCTCAGTGGATGCGATGCTGTGAACGGCGTCTCTTCACACCTGCAGCTGTGAACAGGAGTACTTCCTCTCAGTGGATGCGATGCTGTGAACGGCGTCTCTTCACACCTGCAGCTGTGAACAGGAGTACTTCCTCGCGGTGGATGCGATGCCCGACGGCGAGGCGCGGGCGGCGGCGGAGGCCGTGACCCGCCCGCTGCTTGAGTCGCTCGGCTCGCGCTACCGGACGCACTGCGATGCTGTGAACGGCGTCTCTTCACGGCTGCAGCTGTGAACAGGCTCGCGCTACCGGACGCACTGCGATGCTGTGAACGGCGTCTCTTCACGGCTGCAGCTGTGAACAGGCTCGCGCTACCGGACGCACTGCGATGCTGTGAACGGCGTCTCTTCACGGCTGCAGCTGTGAACAGGCTCGCGCTACCGGACGCACTGCGATGCTGTGAACGGCGTCTCTTCACGGCTGCAGCTGTGAACAGGCTCGCGCTACCGGACGCACTGCGATGCTGTGAACGGCGTCTCTTCACGGCTGCAGCTGTGAACAGGCTCGCGCTACCGGACGCACTGTGAGGGCGTCGGGCTCTACACGGGCCAAGCGCTGCTCAACCACTCTTGCGAGCCCAACGTGACACTGCTCAAGCCGGCGGGCGACGATGAGCACGACAACCGCGTGGTGGCCTCGCTGACCGTCGACGCCGCCGCCGGCGAGGCGCCGCCGCCGATTTCTTCGTTTGTACGTGCTCCTGGAAGTGTGGACGGCGTCTCTTCACACCTGCAGCTGTGAGCAGGAGCTGCTCAACTCGTACGTCGACGTGTCGCTCCCGCTCGCGAAGCGCCGTGCCGAGCTGCGCGACTATGGCTTCGAGTGCCGCTGCGCAAAGTGCGAGCGCGAGGCGGCCGCCGACTCAAGCCGCCCCCCTCCGCTGCCAGCAAGCCCCGCGGCACCGCCGCAGCCGCAGGTGCGCCGGCCGGAACCCCTCCCGCGAAGCGACACCTGAGTTTCACCGGAGAGTGAGAGTGACCCGAGAGTGACCCGAGGTTGACCCGAGATTGACCCGAGATTGACCCGAGATTGACCCGAGACGTACCGACGCCGCAGGTGCACCGGCCCTCTCTCGCCGCCGCGGCTGGCGGCGTCGCCTCTTTGGCGCAGGCGCAGGCGCAGCAGCTCTCAGCGGGAGGCGCCGCGCCCGAGCAGCGCTCGCGGCGCCGCCTCAAGTGATGCGCGCACTGAGGTAGGCTGCCGTTTGCGTGTGACGTAGAGGGGGCGACACAACGAAAAGTGGAGAAAGTGAGGCACTCACGGAGAGAGAGAGAGGGTACGCACGCACACCTGTTTGGCCTGGCGTGGCGATCGTCTGAAATAACAAAATAAGAGATTGCCCGAGATCGCGCGGCGCGGCCCGGGGCGGGGTGGATGGGTTGGGAGCGAGGGGGCGAAAGTGTTCAGTGCGGTAGATCGGTCAGTCGGGGCGCATGAGCCGGACTTGTGGGCCGGACCACCCAAGTCCTTTATCTGCGTTGTTGAGCCAGGACTCAACATACTCGTTCTGTTGCCGTCCCAAACTGTCACTCCCCTTTCTCCCGGCCGGGGTGGGCGCGCGCGGGGGGCGGCGGGTGTGCGGGATGTCTGTGGGCCCCCGAGAGCGATATGCCATGTCCGCCTTGCGTTTGTTTCATAACATCGAAGGCTAAGCTCACAAAATAAAGCCGTACCTGAGAGCCCGGGGTGCGACCTTAGGGTACCCCTAGGCTTAAGAGGGTGGGCCCTGGGGCGCCTGCGGCTTAAACGGCTTAAAACCTGCCATGGCAGGTTTTAAGAGCTGCTGGGCCGCCGATTCCTTAAACGGTCTTAAACGCTTAAACGGTGCGGGAGAGCTCCCGAGGTCGATGGTCCGGGGAGGCTCCCGGTAGACGCCGGAGGCCGGGTCGCCGGGAAGCTGGCTACAGTCAGCTAGCACGCGCCCCCTATGCGAGTATGGCTTACAGATGTGTCTTCAGAGGCGGTTTTGTGCCTAATAACGGCAGTATTGGAGAAAACGGCGCGGAACCCAGCGACGCATGGCCGGTGGGAGGCCGATTTTCTTAAACGGTCTTAAAAGTCTGGGACCTCCCGTGCCTGCAATCTCTCAAATGGCAATTTCAGCCCCCAAAAATCTCCTCATTTCTTAAAAGGTCTTTAAAAAATCCGGCCCTCAGAACCCTACGCCATCCCGCGGCAGGAGGCGGGGCTGGTCACCGCTGTACTCGAGTAAGCGTCAAGCGCGTCGCGGTCTGAAGTGGCCGCGCGAGCGCCAAACCTCTCTGTACAGTTCTACACCGGCACACCACCGCTGCTCTGATACCGGTGCAAACGGCGAACGGGCGAGGGAGCTACGATGTGTCTGTGTTGTTGAGTCTCTTTTGTTTGGGTGAGGTGTCCCCGAGAATCCGAGAGTGAGGCAGGCGTCTTCTTTATGTGCGTGGTACTTCCGACGTGCGTTTGAGTGTGTTTCCTCGCGCGCTTAATATCCATCCACGCGCGCGGTCACGGTAGCTTCGGGTGTGGGCTGCTAGCCGCGCTGCGGCTGGGCTCGCTCGCCTGTCTATGCAAAGAGAATAAAAGAATTTTACAACAAAACTGTCTATGCAAAGAGAATAAAAGAATTTTACAACAAAATTCCCTGGGCACGGAATAAAAGAATTTGACAAAAGCCTGCCAGGAATGCCCGCTGCGATCCAAAGTTATCCAAGATCCTCGCCGATTTTGTGGCTGGTCGGGTCACGACGGATCGCGTGCGGCATCGGAACCAAACAAGCTCGATGCGCCACACGCTTCTCGCTGCGCTCGAGCCGTGCAAGGTCTACACCCACGAGGCCTTCGTACACGCCGCGAATCCCGATTTCTGGAACGCGCGGGGCGCTGGCGCACACTGGGAGCGCGATCCGTTCTCGACGGAGCTCAAGCTGCAGCGTGCGTACGCCCGGCGGCCGGCGGCGTGGACGGCGGCGAGCATCGCAGACGCCGACCTCGTCTATGTCGCCGCCAACTACTCGCAGCTGTGCGTTGCGCGGAAGGAGTTCACGCTGAGACGAGAGCTCACCTACCTCGCCGAGAACCGCACGCTCTACCCGAACGAGTCGTCCACACGGCCCGTGCCGCCGAAGCTCGTGTCGCTCCAGTACATCCAGGGCTGCTTGCAGCACACGCGGCCGAAGGCGGACACGATCTGGATGCGCGATCAGATCCTCCTCACGGGGCCGGGATCGAGCGCCTACCGCGACGAGCCCACGCTCGTCGCGCCGTTTGCGGTCGCGCAGCCGCAGTGGCTGCTCTCCGGCCGCGTGCCGAAGCCGCTGCCGTGGGCGGAGCGCAACCAGGTCGTCTTCCTCGGCGGTCACGTGCCGAAGCTCTACCTGATGCCGCTTCGCTATCTCATCTGGCAGCAGCTCTACGCGAATCCGAGGGCGTGGACCCAGAGCTTTGGGATCAACTGCACTGTCGGCGCCTACGAGATCTGCGACCACCCCGACCTCCGGAAGCCGAGGGGCGCACCCGCGACCCATCCCGACAAGCACGTTTACCACACCTTCTGCAACGACGCGTGCGCGGCCCCGCCCGACGCCTCGCACGTGCACACCGCCACGCGGTCCAAGGCGATCAATGCCCGAGGGAAGGAGTACAGGGACAGCGAGGGCAACGTCGTGGGCGACCAGCCATCGTGCCTGGGAACATGGCGCCAGACGACGCAGCACGCGGCCGCCAAGCTGCGCGACGACTGTCTGCGGTACCGGGTCGTCGACTACAAGGCCGAGGCCGCCGCCATCCGCCGCGACACCGCGCGCAGCGCCGGGCGCGAGCAGTACCTGGAGGCCGCATCGCGCAGCCGCTTCTGCATCATTGCGCAGGGCGACCCGGGCAACACGGCGAAGGTGATGGAGACGGTGGCGCTCGGCGGCGCGGGCGGCTGCATACCGCTGTACGTGCTCTACACGGCGAACAGCCCGCAACGGCCGCCGGTGGAGCAAGATTTTGTGCGCGACCTGCCGCACGTGCGGTGGCTCGACTACTGCGAGATCGCCTACTTCGTCTCGCACCACGCGGCGCGGACCAACATGTCGCGCGTCGTCGAGATCCTCGCGGACGTCACCGCCGAGCAGGCCGAGGCCAAATTCCGCGCGCTCCGCGCCGTGCGCCCCGCCTTCGTCTACCGCCGCAACTCGTCGTTCGAGCGTCCGTCGGCGGCCGAGTTCCTCCTCTCTGACGCCTGCCACATGGCGCGGCGCGCCCGCGCGCAGCCCGCCGGGCGGCCCGCCTTCGAGGTTGCCGGCGGCGCCCATGGGCGCTGCACGATCGCGATGAGGGATGGCGTGCTCGGCTTCGGAAGTACGTGAGGTGACTTAGAGTAGTGAGTTACACGAAAAGGCGCTGGCGCGGCCAGCACCCGCCGTCGAACTCGGCGGCCTGCAGCACGCGCCGCTGCTCGGCGAGCTCGGCGACGCGCTGGCGGTGGAGCGCCTCGTCGGCCGCCAGCTCGCGGTTGGAATTACTCCTGGTTTCCGACGCGCGGCGCCCAGCGCGGGAGAAAGTTGCGGCGGTGCGCCTCGGTGTCGGGGCTCGCCGCGCTCGGCATCGGCCGCGGCATCAGCGGGCTGAGCGCGGCGCGGCCTCGTCCATCCAGCCGCGCAGGTGCGAGAGCTGGACGAGGCCCTCGGCCTCCTCGGCGCGGTGCGTCTCGTTGCGCCGCCTCCCGCGCTCCGTCGCGAGCTGCGCCTCGCGGAGCTCGCGCGCGACCGCGTCGCTGAACGACGAGAGCGGCAGCACGACGCGCTGCCAGCCGTCGCCGCCCGGCACGGAAAACTTGGCCTTGTAGCAGCCGCGCGAGAGAGGGAGGTTGCCGCCTCCGGCGCAGGCGAAGGAGGGGGAGAGCGCACCGGCCGCAACCGTCACGCGAAAGCCCTTGTACTCCGGCGTCTTGGAGCGAGCCTTGGAGCGAGCTGGCGTTGGGGAAGCTGCCGTCCGCCGCCGCCTTGATGAAGCCGGGAGCCTTGAGGGACGGCACGTCGGCGACGACGCCGTTCATCACGCCGATGCCGTTCTCAACCTTCCAGGTGCCAGTCGACTGCCCGCCCATGACGGGATCGTTCAGCTCGTTGAAGGTGAAGGTGGTACCGGGAGTTCCGTCGAAGGTGACGAGCGGGACCTGCGAGACAGGGTGAAGTGAGGCTTGCGAGGCAGGGCGATTCGTGGCGACCGGGTGATGTGAGGCTGGGAGGCAGGGCGAAGCGTGGCTGACAGCGAGGTGTTAGGTGAGACAAGGCGTGGTGGAAAGGGTTGGCACACGGTGGCGACCACGTAGGCCGGAGCCCCGTAGGCGATCGTTGCAATGCTGACACGCTGTCGGCGTCACCGGATTTGTTTTTTCGTCGGTGGAAGTTTACATGTATTTATTTGTTGGTGGAAGTTAAATTATCTCTTCCGTAATTGTTGGATAGGTTTGTTCGACGTGAATCTTCTACGCGTTCAGAAAAGAAATATCTGCTCGGACTTTGGCTAGTTCCACTGTGGCACAGCTCGCGTTACAAAACCTTGATTTTGACCATTGCGCGAAAAAGGTACATCTCGGTGCCTTCCAGAGGCAGCTGCGACCCCGCCGAGTAGACGGCGTCACACAGCAGGTGGCGCGGTGTGACGCCGTCCACTCGGCTGGGTCGCAGCTGCCTCTGCGCGTCCTGGGTATGTACCTTTGTCGCGCGCCAGAGACGACTCGACGCCGCTGAGATCGGAGATCAAGCTCTGACAGGTCGCACGTCGCTCCTTTGACGCCGACGTGACTCACCCGTGCAGATCACATCATGACACGGTCTCGATGCGCTCGGTACGACGCCTGCGACCCGTCTCGGGTCAGGTGGCACGACGCTCATCGCGCCTACCAGCGCTGCCGTACAGGTTGCCACGACGAGGTCGAGCACGCTTCTATACGCTCGCCGAGCCTTCCTTTCCATCCCATTAGGCAGTCTGGGAACGGTGGCGGTCAGAGGCAAAGCCTACGAGGGGTGGTGGAACCACATGTCACGGCTACTGCCGGCTCGACCCCACGATAGCCTCCGAAGGCTGACTTTGAGGCACCATCATCGGACGATGTCGACGAGTTGGGTCGCTCTCGCGGTAGCCAGATGACCTCCCATGCTAGTACCATCGGCTAGGGCCGCAGGAAGCGCGGGGGAGGGCGCTGGGAGCAA